TCTACAGATCTGTTGGCTCTGTAGGCGAACTGCAGGGGGTCCAGGAGGGGGGAGGTGAGGGACTTGAGATGGGAGAGAACCAGGCGTTCAAATGACTTCATGACGACAGACGTAAGTGCTACAGGTCTGTAGTCATTGAGTCCTGTGATCCTGGGCTTCTTCGGGACGGGGACAATGATGGAGGATTTGAAGCAGGCCGGGACATGGCAGGACTGCAGAGAGGAGTTGAAAATGTCCGTGAACACAGGAGTAAGCTCACTGGCGCAGTGTCTCAGAGTGGCCGGAGACACGTGGTCCGGGCCAGGAGCTTTGCGGGGGTGCAGCCTCAGGAAGAGTTGTTTAATCTCTTTAGCGGCTATTGTTAGGCTGGGGGCAGGGCTGATGGGTGGGTCGTTAGAGTAGTGGGGGGTGGGGGAGGGAGAGGTGTCAGGGGCAGCATCAAAGCGACTGAAAAATAAGTTCAGATCGTCAGCTAGCTTGTGGTCATCAGCACAGGGGGGGGCTTTGGGTTTGTAGTTGGTGATCTCCCGTAGGCCCCTCCAGACAGAAGCAGTATCGTTGTTACCAAACTGCTCCTGTAGTCGTTCTCTGTGCCGGGACTTGGCTGCTTTCAGTTCTTTCCTGAACTGATATTTAGCTGCTTTGTAGCCGCTGCGGTCCCCCTCCCTGAAAGCAGACTCCTTTGCTTTCCTGAGCTGCCGGAGTTTAGCAGTGAACCAGGGTTTGTCGTTGTTATAGATGACCCTGGTCCTTGTTGGAATGATGCTATCCTCACAGAAGTGGATGTATGACGTTACAGTGTCCGTATATTCATCCAAACTATCTGTGGCAGCTCTGAAAAGGTCCCAGTCTGTAGATTCCATGCATGCGCGCAGCTCTTCCACAGCTTCATCAGACCACACTTTGGAGCTCCTCACTGCAGGTTTCGAGAGCTTTAGTCTCTGTCTGTAAGCAGGAACCAGATGTATCATGGAGTGATCTGAGAAGCCGAGGGCTGGCTTGGGAACAGCGCGAAAAGCTCCGCGCACGGTGGTGTAACAGTGATCCAAAGTGTTCTCCTCTCTGGTCGGGCATTTGATAAACTGACTGTATTTGGGTAATTCCTGGCTCAAGTTTCCCTTATTAAAATCCCCCAGGATAATAATCAGAGAGTCCGGGTATAAGCGTTCCATACACAGTACTTGCTCTGCGAGTGCGCGCTGAGCCTCGCGCGCGTCCGCGCATGGCGGTATGTAAACAGAGGCAAGAATGAATGAAACAATTTCCCGCGGGGAGTAATATGGTTTACAATGAATGAAAAGATATTCCAGAGCAGGAGAGCAGTGCTTGGAGATCACTGTCACATCGTTACACCAGTTTGTATTGACGTAGAAACAGAGCCCTCCGCCTCTGCTCTTCCCTGAGAGCGCACAATGGCGATCCGCGCGAAACAGCCCAAAGCCCTGCAGCTCCAGAGCGCAGTCCGGGATCCGCTCATTTAGCCAGGTCTCAGTGAAGCAGAGGACACAGGATGTGGCGAAGTCCTTGTTTCTTCTCATGAGCAGGCTGAGTTCGTCCATCTTATTGCCCAGTGAGCGTACGTTGGAGAGAAAAATGCCGGGGAGAGCAATTTTTTTGTAATTGTTTGTATATGAATATTAAATGACAAAGAAGGATCAAGCCATAAGACGAGATATTTAAACCGATCTACAACTGGAACTGGAGACATGTCAGAATACACAAAATTAATTTAATTTGTGGAAACAGGACACACTCTCTTCTGGAATTGCAAACAATCTGTTATTTTACAACAATTCTGTAAAATAACATGTTTTCATTCTAATATGAAAGTGAAAATTGAATTTTTTGTGGCTCAATTGATTCATTTGGAGGTTGTTGAGATGATTTGTTACACATTAGAGCTTAGCTGTATCGGCTTTCACTTTAAACAAGTGTGGGGCTATTTTCTGTTTGGGAATTTGGCTATTATATATAGTCAAAAAAAAAAACTTACATCAATTAAGAATCCACTTTAAACTGTGCAGAAATGGCAAAATATGATTTGTACATACCTGACTTTGGAGACACATGAATAGTAAGTGAGTATGCAGTGTCCTTAATCCTGGGTTCACATGAGGAGAGAGGTTTGTGAACAGCAGGGGGCCACACTGATGCCTAATTAGCTCTGCTGTTCACCACTCAAAGATGGCTGCCAAAGGAGACACATCCTCCCCAAGACCTAAACAGCTTTCCTCTCCTGTCTCCTCTGCAACTGAGCGGACCTTCAGGCCTCTTGGCTCCATGCTTTCACTTCAAACATGTTTGTTTCATCTCTGTGGTGTATGTGAGGACGCCACGTTGTCGTCAGAGTTGTATAAGACCTTGGAAGTTGTCCAATGAGATTCTTGATTGGTCTTGTCAATCTGTAGACTTTTGACATTCTTTATGTGTGATTTAAAGGCTGGGTTCCTAGCTCTCTAGGCCCAAACATTTTCCGTAGTTAAATTAGTCTGAAGTAGTGTACAAGTAGGGGAAACCTGAGCACCCGAAAGACCCCGTTTGCAGGTGGAATTGAACACTGGACCTTGTTTCTGTGATGCTAAAGTGCTAACCGCTTGCTACAGCGCTTGTGACTTTAGACTTGTGTCAGACTTGAGCCTATTGAACAAACATGTAAAATTAAATAAAAAATATATGAACTTCCTTGTTTGAATGAATGACATGTGAAGTGCATTTGAGTGTCCAGAAAAGTGCTATATAAAACCAATGCATTATTATAATTATTAGTTTATATAATAATTTTTAACAATTAAGACTAAGTATAAGATCTATTCTTGTCTTACTGCAAAGAAATGTCTTTTAATCTTCTTTGCATCTACTTTTTCCAACTACTAACGGTAATTAAAGCTGTAAAGCATCCAAAAGAATTTGTGCAAAATGTAAAAAAAAAAAAAGTTTAGAACTAAAATTTCTTTAGGGAGCGCTAATGCTGCAATTTGATGTTTTTCACACTCAGCTCACCTAGGAGCAAGACTTGAACAACCCATTCAAATTTGGTGCAATTTGGACCTTGTAAAGGGAGCAAATTTGTCATAAAGGTAAAGGTGCACTTTATTGATCCCTGTTTATTCATCCTCTGCATTAAGGCTTACGTCAGGAGCAGTGGTCGCCGTAGTCCAGTCCCCTGGAATCCATCTCCAGATGTTGATGCTAGGCTTGGTTAGGACTACCAGAGCTGGAGGATTTAACCTACTGTGCATGTTTTTAGTGGTAGGGGAAACCGGAGTACCTGGAGGAAACCTACGCAAGCATAGGGAGAACATAACTGCCTCAGCCTTCACAAGTCTGCTCTCTTCTGAGATCCAAGCACTGTGGAAGTCATCTTGAACAGACCAACTACGCCTCCCTCCAAAGTAAACGGCGGTTCTCCTGTGAAGTAGCCCAAATGCACATGGTTACCCAAAAGGCAGGGAAGAACAGGCCTGGTGCAATGCAGTTCTCCTCAAGACACACAGGTAACCGGTGCACCCCAACAAAGTCATTATGGAGCCCACCCTGCTGACTGCACACCTGCTACTGCTGCACATGCTCATCCATCAGTCAGGAGAGGGAAAGGAGGGGTACAGGCTGTGGCCTTGGGAAAATTTGGAATAAAGAAGGAAAAAGTCTGTAAATGATAAGCATCATATTGCCAGTGTCTATATCCTAAATAGAGGAACTTAAAACTAGAAGCTGCATCAGATGAAGCCAATAATTTTGAAAACAAACAACACAAGAAACTCTGTAAGATATCACAACAATTTTGAAACTACATTTAGATTTTTTATTTAGATTAAAGAAGACACACTACTGTCAATAATGATTGTTTTTTCAGAATTCAGAACGTTTTTTTCACATGCTGTATAGTTGGCCGCAATTTGACTGCTTTTAACAACATGTGTACAGCTGCAGACATTCCAAATTGAAAAACATTATCTTTACTTTATATATTAGGCCCAAAAATAAAATCTTATCACTGCTGGTGTTGAAGAGGCCCATGGGCACATTTCCTCAGGTGCCATCACTTACAGAGAAAAAAAAAACTGCCCCATTTGAATTCCATCCAACAACTTAGTAAGACCTGGTTGAACACTGAAAAATACCACGTCTGTTTGTATTTATTTTATTTACCTCAAAAATAAGATAAGATAAACTTTATTGATCTCACAATGGAGAAATTTACATGTCACATTTGGCATAGATAGAATCACTCAGATTGTACAAAAAAACATGAAGTGAGTTGAGTAACATGTTTAAGGTTAAAAATATAGTCTGTGCAGGATATATTATGTACAATGAAAAGTGGTATAGTAGCAGGTCTTGTTTTTTCAGTCCCAGTGTAGGTCATTAATGACAAAAACCTTGAACCTTATTCAGTTCATTTTATCTCTAAAATAACTCACAAGGTTTAAAAGTAAATCCATATATGTAAACTGTTGCTGTACTCTATGTACTCTGTGTTTCCAACATAGACAAACGCTTCCCTCTAGTGGTGGAGTACAGACTTACAGCTAGTTACAATGTGAACGTGTTTTTTCCATTCGCAATCACTCTTTGATTTAGCAGCTCATTTGCCATATATTTTAAACTTCTACACTTAATGCCATTGTGAAAATTTCTGAACTGAAAAGAGCTTGGGATTAAACATATTTGGATTTGTGTATTACAATCCAGAACACGCTGGAGGGACTATCATGTCTCTCAGCTGGCCTGGGAACGCCTTGGGGTCCCCCCGGATGAGCTGGGGAAAGTGTGTGTGAAGAGGCAAGTCTAGACTGCTGCCCCCGCGACCCAGCAACGGATGAAGCGGAAGAAAATGGATGGATGGATGGAGTATTAAAATAATAAGAGTTTGAGTCTTATATACCAGACACATATACTTTAACGATTATGAGAACATTCTTAAGCTAATAGATTGTTCTGTTTGATTTCTAAAACCATCCCATATGAATCTTCATTCTACAAACTTTCGCTGTGCGTCCATGAACGCATCACTCTGCTCTACTGCCCATGCGCACTTACTCGTTTACCGCTCAGCTCCTTCCGGCACCTTCACCATCCACTACCACCACAAACAGCTCACAAACCGGCTCCAAACCAGCTCCGAACAGCTCGTAGGCACCATGAGCTTCACAGTGGAAGAGAGGGGAAACCCGAACACTCTGTCCTACCGACTATTCTTCAGTAAGTCCGGCTACACGTCACAAAGGAGCCCCGAGTCCACAAACCTGTTTCAATGGACCGCTCGTGAAGCGGGTTAGGTCCACGTGTCACGGCCGCGGACTGGACTCACAGATACAGCTTTGGCGAAATGTATATATCTGAAGTTGGTGAATTTCAAATAGAATATTATCGAAGTACTGAAGCCACGTAGACAGACAAACCAGTCTGTCAAGTTTAGCTGTGATCTTTGATTTAATTTAATTGGGTAGGGTAATTTGATAATTTAGGCAGTAGTAATTATTGATATATGGTCAATACAGCTGCATGGGAGCACACATGTCCCAAGAATACAGGTGCTCTTTGTATGGGAACTTGTGGAAACGCCCTCCATTGAGCATCTTCATGCTACCCTGTGTAATTTTTAAGATGAGATAAGATAGACTTTATTGATCTCAGACAGGAGAAATTTACAAATTCTCGGCGGCACGGTGGCTGAGTGGATAGCACTCTCGCCTCTCAGCAAGAAGGTCCTGGGTTCGAATCCCGGTTGGACCAGGGCCTTTCTGAGTGGAGTTTGCATGTTCTCCCTGTGTCTACGTAGGTTTCCTCCGGGTGCTCCGGTTTCCCCTACCACTAAAAATATGTACAATAGGTCTGGCATGTGCCTCCTGTACTGGCGACCCCCACTCCCAAAAAATAACAATTGTAAACTGCTTTGAGACTCCGATGTGCAGTGAAAAGGCGGTATATAAATAAAGATTACTTACAAATGCACAAATGTATCGATCATGGATCTCGAAAGACATGGCTCGAACTTGTCCTGGCTGATGGATAGACCTATATCGTCTCTTGAGGGAAATGCATTTCCTATCAGATTCACAGTAGAGTGGTTGCAAATTCCAAAACCGAGGTGTTTTAACCAATTTTAAACAGCAATTAGTCCATATGTGCACTGCATTAATCTTAAGTCCTTCTGAGGATATTACAAGTCTGGTTGTAATTGCATATGTTTGTTTACAAATAGTGTATAGTATTTTGGTAATGAAAGAGGACTGTGCAGATTAATAATTTGTAACTTGTAATTCAAGATCTGTTATTTTGACCGTTGAACTCAGAAATGTCGTTCTGTTTTATCACAGAAAATGCTGCAGGCAGCTTCATCTCACCATTCCATGACATCCCTATGTGTGCCGATGAGGCCCAGGTAAGTGAAACCAAACATCCATTTTACTGCTCTGTTATGAGGTAATACTCGACTGCGGTCAGAGTCTAGTGTGATTTTAACATTGGCCTTTGTACGACTGTCCCTATCAGTGGTGAGGAAGGAGGAGATTCACTCGAATTTATTTTTTATTTTTATTAGAGCAGATATGTTTATCTGTGTAGTAATTTTGTCTCTGTAAATTATTAAATGCCACAAACTATCCAGTTTGTGGAATCCAATCCATTCCAGTGTCACTAATGTTATGAACGAATACTTTTCCTCTTTTCTCCACAGAATATCTTTAATGTGGTCGTTGAGGTGCCCAGGTGGACAAATGCCAAGATGGAGGTATGTTTGACTATATTTTAGGGCTGGGAAAAAAGATTTGGAGTTCTGCAGATTTCCGGAGATTCTGCAACATTCCGTCAAGTCACGCTGCTGCAACGCGAATGTAAACACATACAGCAGCATGTTTACAGAAAATGCACAGTTAGGACTCCATTTACGATGTCAGCGTCTGTACATTAGTTTTATAATCTTGGTAATCTCTGCTGCTGCTTCGTTTACAGTTGTGTGTGTGTGTGTGTCACAAGTGCTGTAACATTTATGTGAATGTCGTTTTACATTGGTCTACCCCCTTCTAATTAAAATATGAATGTCATCCCAGTTATAATAAGTTTAATAAATTAATGCCATCCCAGTTAAATTATGTTTAATACATTGACAATTGATGTTTCCCAATTAACATAATACATTTTAATTGATTAAATTAAATCAATTAAAATTCAAGCTGGTGCTATGTGTACTGGGTGCAGCTCTGACTGCCACCCCCCCCCAACCCAGAAATGGATTAAGGGGAAGAAAATGGATGGATGGATGGAACATAATAAATTGCAAGCACAAATTTCAATATTTTAGTAATGGCAAATGCCTTGGTTAATTTAAGATTATTATTCTATTTTTGGGTCTTTTCTATTTAGTTGTAGAATCATCACAGTTAATGTTTTTACTGTAAGCATTTTACTGCACTACAACTTTGAAATGGCCAGATAATTTGGCTTTTTCATAGGGAAAAGCGCAGGGTAAGAAATCTAAATTGAATCAAAAATCATGCAAACTTGCCCAGCGCAAGTGTATTTATTCTTTCATGAATTGAAATGGAAAAGTGTGTTAATGAATATGACCTGCTGGGATTTTGCACTGTAGAGACTGTATATAGGTGGATGTATTGCAAATCAGGTTGTTTTTTAAAGAAATGTGATCCATTTCTTTCCTGTAGATGTTCAGGTGAGTCTTAAACCTCAACACCGTAGAGGCATATTTTATCACGATTATTCATTGCAACCTGAAACATTGTTAACGAAGTACTCTAAATATGTTAAGATTCTTATTTTTTTTCATTGTCATTCCCCCTATGCACTTATTTTTTTTGTATTGCTTCTCTACAACACTTTCGTAGATTGCTACCAAAGACCTCCTAAATCCAATTAAGCAAGACGTAAAGAAAGGCAAGCTGCGGTACGTTGCCAACATTTTCCCACACAAAGGGTACATATGGAACTATGGAGCCATTCCTCAGGTGAGTGTTGTGAAAAGGTTACAGTTTGTTTAAACACACTACCTGTATGAAGATGTGAGTATGTGCTGTTACAGACATGGGAGGACCCCGCACACAAGGACGCTGACACGGACTGTTGTGGAGACAATGACCCCATAGACGTCTGTGAAATAGGCAGCAAGGTACAAATGGGTTAAAGGGGACTTGTGACCTAAGCTTTCATTTGGATTTTGGGTAATCCACTATTTTCTTGCAGTTGAGACAAATATTAAGACCATGTCTGTTTTTAATAAACATTGTGTGCTACAGGCATGTGCTTCTGCCTGCAGGTGTGCTCTCGGGGGGAGGTCATCAGGGTGAAGGTCCTGGGCGTTCTGGCCATGATCGATGAAGGAGAGACTGATTGGAAAGTGATTGCAATCAATGTGGATGACCCTGAAGCCAGTGAATACAATGGTAAGAGCTTCCACTCTTCATATTTAGAGGACTCACACATGGTTTTTATTTACAAAAATGTATTCTCAATTAAGGTATTTGTTAATGTATTCATATTACATGGTGAAGAGTTTAATGTGTTGTGGAAAGTGTATCATTTTCAAAGTCAAAGTTTATAACAGGATTTAACGGTTATACCAGTTTGCTGTTTGCACCTAACTGGCCCTCATATAGAGTTGTAAATGTGTTTGTTTCTTGCTCTGGACAGACATCGGTGACGTGAGGCGCCTCAAGCCAGGCTACCTGGAGGCCACAGTGGATTGGTTCAGAAGGTATAAAGTACCAGACGGAAAACCAGAGAACCGCTTCGCTTTTAATGGGGAGTTTAAAGACAAGGTAAATACTAAATGAACATGAGTGAAGATAACATTGTTTTCACAGAACTCTTCTGAGACAGTCAAATGCATTTCCTCTTTCAGGACTTTGCAATCAAAGTAATCAAGAGCACTCATACCTTCTGGATAGCCCTCATTTCTCAAAAAGCCAAGGCTGGTGATCTCAGCTGGTAAATATAGTGTAATAGTTGTTTCCTTTCAGTTGTGTGTGGATCGCTAACTGCCTTTGTTCTCACAGTAAAAACACAAGTGTGTCAGAAAGAGACAGTCCTTTCTGTTGCTCTGCAGATGAGGCCAAGGCAGCTGTCGGGGAGGTAACTTAAACATGCAATTACTTAAAAAAAAAAACAAAAATCATTATTATTCTTTTCTAATCACATGGTTTTATTCATTTTATATTGTAGACATGTCCATGTGGGGCAGGGGAGCCGATTCCTTCATCAGGTAAACTCAGTGTAACTTTTCTTTTTAACATTTTAATTCATTTGCCACAAGTATGTTTGTTTTTTGTTTTACAGTTGACAAATGGTTCTACCAATAGAAAAGCCTGGCGTAAAGCGTAAGAACACAGATAGGATTGCACAAGATGTGATGTGGTGGAGATACTGTAAATGGAAGACAATGTAGATAAACTCAAAATAATGTATGCAATTGTGTTGCTTTCTTATAATGACCAAGTAACCTTACAAAAGTCTCTTAGGAGGTGCTGTCAAAACAGGGTGCTCTACCTCTGAAGTAAAACTGTTTTTAATAAAGCTGTAGTCTGCATTGGCTGTCTTCTGTTTGATTGGGAAATTAAGGGTCTTTGCCTTCATCTAGAGGGCACTAGAGGGAGTATTAAAAGGTTAAAACCATAAGTTAAAGGGTGTCAACATGACATCTGATACGCCATCTATAATCACAATGTACAAACGTTACTTCCATGTTTTTCTAGTTTGAGTACGTTTTTATGATGTTTGACTTAATGGAATCTGGCAGAAGATATCCAACAAAATGACCGAGGAATAAACTTTGTTTAACATGTAGAAATAGGGGTTGATGAAACGTGTTCTAAGATATTAAAAAAAAAATAAAAAAATGTAATATAATGAGCACACTGCTATTTCTGGGAGTGTCATAGGAGTTTATGTGAATCACTGGAGAGTTATGTTTACGACGTTTGACTCCATTATAAAATAAATATAATCCTCATTTGATTATTGTACAATGTTATATAGTAATACATTTAATGGACCATTAAAATGTATTATATTTAATATAATAAATACCTCCCCCTCCATTCCCGCGGGGGTGACGTACTTCCCATGAACTGTCAAACTCCATCGGCGCTCGAGCCCGGACCATATTTAGACTATAGACTTTCACATCCGCCGCTTTCAGGTAAAAAATACTTCATATATTCCACTACAGGCTCTTACAACACGCAAACCACGACTTAATATCATGGTTTGCGTCTGCGAGTTTCTCTGTTTAGGAGCTTGGTAGACACTGTTGAACAGACACTTTTCTTATCTTATGGGGGTCGCTTGTTTACGTTGTGTTTACGTCTTTTGGTATCATGTGATACGGGCAGACGCTGACAGTTGCTGGAAAACTTGCACGTGCAATAATTTGGTAACATAAGGCATCACCGTCAGAATCTGTTATTTTGAAGTTGAACTGGTTTATGAGTGTCCATTTGTGCACATTTTAACATACTAGATTGAACAACTTTTATTTAAAAAAAGGACGTTATTACTTTTCTTTTGCTCTTGATTTAATGAAATCTGTGCCTGTGTTGAGCTGAGTGACAGGTGTGTGTTGCTGTAGAGGAGCAGATCAAGTGTCCTCTCCACTACTCGTCATAAAAATAGTTCTAAGAAACACAGAGGCCCCACACTTCACATCCGGCGGACCATACTGCCCTTTCACACTGTGAGATTACATGGATTATGCATACCAGTGCGAGTAGTTTATCCTAGGAATAATGCTGAACGATGAATGAGAAGTTTTGAAATCATTTGAGATGAAGGATTATAGTTTTTTAGCATATTTAAAGTTTCACGTAGTGTGGGAGGTTAGTTCAGTGTTGAGTAAATACAGAACGTCCATTGTTAATATGTATTCTGTGATGTATCAGAATGCTGTATTCTGAGTACTTGGACAATTTGAACTAATTTGCATAATATCGTTTAACTATGTGTAGATGGTATTTTTGTGATACTGTTTTTATGCATGTTTGTTATTTTGGGATCAGAAAATAGGAAAACACACGAGATTCTATGTGACGTCCTGTCAAAATTGCATGATCAAATATGACTATTCTGAATAAAGCCAGAAGAAAAGGCAATGTATTCTGATGACATCCCTGATGCATCCATCTCTTGGAGGGCTGCAGTCTGAGCAGAGACGCCCAGACTTCCCTGTACCTCTTTCAAGATCCAGTTTGTTTTAAAATTATATTCATCAGATTGAATGAAGCACAGTGGGACACAAAACCTTTTCTGAAAAGTTACCTAGATATCTTTTAAGAGACCAGAGAGGAGAACACTCTGGATCACTGTTACACCACCGTGCGCGGAGCTTTTCGCGCTGTTCCCAAGCCAGCCCTCGGCTTTTCAGATCACTCCATGATACATCTGGTTCCTGCTTACAGACAGAGACTAAAGCTCTCGAAACCTGCAGTGAGGAGCTCCAAAGTGTGGTCTGATGAAGCTGTGGAAGAGCTGCGCGCATGCATGGAATCTACAGACTGGGACCTTTTCAGAGCTGCCACAGATAGTTTGGATGAATATACGGACACTGTAACGTCATACATCCACTTCTGTGAGGATAGCATCATTCCAACAAGGACCAGGGTCATCTATAACAACGACAAACCCTGGTTCACTGCTAAACTCCGGCAGCTCAGGAAAGCAAAGGAGTCTGCTTTCAGGGAGGGGGACCGCAGCGGCTACAAAGCAGCTAAATATCAGTTCAGGAAAGAACTGAAAGCAGCCAAGTCCCGGCACAGAGAACGACTACAGGAGCAGTTTGGTAACAACGATACTGCTTCTGTCTGGAGGGGCCTACGGGAGATCACCAACTACAAGCCCAAAGCCCCCCCCCCCTGTGCTGACGACCACCAGCTAGCTGACGAACTGGACTTATTTTTCAGTCGCTTTGATGCTGCCCCTGACACCTCTCCCTCCCCCACCCCCCACTACTCTAACGACCCACCCATCAGCCCTGCCCCCAGCCTAACAATAGCCTCTAAAGAGATTAAACAACTCTTCTTGAGGCTGCACCCCCGCAAAGCTCCTGGCCCGGACCACGTGTCTCCGGCCACTCTGAGACACTGTGCCACTGAGCTTACTCCTGTGTTCACTGACATTTTCAACACCTCTCTGCAGTCCTGCCATGTCCCGGCCTGCTTCAAATCCTCCATCATTGTCCCCGTCCCGAAGAAGCCCAGGATCACAGGACTCAACGACTACAGACCTGTAGCACTTATGTCTGTCGTCATGAAGTCATTTGAACGCCTGGTTCTCTCCCATCTCAAGTCCCTCACCTCCCCCCTCCTGGACCTCCTGCAGTTCGCCTACAGAGCCAACAGATCTGTAGACGACGCCATTAACCTGGCCCTCCACCACATCCTACAGCACCTGGACTCCCCGGGGACCTACGCCAGGGTCCTGTTCGTGGACTTCAGCTCTGCCTTCAACACAATCCTGCCATCCCTGCTCCAGGACAAGCTCTCCCAGCTCAACGTGCCCGATTCCATCTGCAGGTGGATCACTGACTTCCTGTTCTTTCTCCCCTGCTCTTCTCCCTGTACACCAACCACTGCACCTCCAGCCACAACTCTGTGAAGCTGATCAAGTTTGCGGACGACACCACCCTCATTGGACTCATCTCCAACAACGATGAGTCCGCCTACAGGAGGGACCGGCTGGTGTCCTGGTGCAGTGGTAACAACCTGGAGCTGAACGCCCAGAAGACAGTGGAGCCCCATCACCTCTGTGGAGTCCTTCCGTTTCCTGGGCACCACCATCACCCAGGACCTCAAGTGGGAGCCGACCATCAGCTCCCTCATCAAGAAGGCCCAGCAGAGGATGTACTTCCTGCAGGCGGCACGGTGGCTGAGTGGATAGCACTCTCGCCTCTCAGCAAGAAGGTCCTGGGTTCGAATCCCGGTCGGACCAGGGCCTTTCTGAGTGGAGTTTGCATGTTCTCCCCGTGTCTGCGTAGGTTTCCTCCGGGTACTCCGGTTTCCCCTACCACTAAAAATATGTCCAATAGGCATGTCTGGCATGCGCCTCCTGTACTGGCCCCGCTCCCATCTCTGTGTGGAGTGAGAGATAAATGCCCAAAAATAATAACAATTGTAAACCGCTTTGAGACTCAGATCTGCAGTGAAAAGGCGGTATATAAATAAAGATTACTACTTACTTACTTACTGCGGCAGCTCAGGAAAGCCAAGCTGCCTGCACAGATGTTGGTGCATCATCGAGTCCATCCTCGCCTCCTCCATCACCGTGTGGTTCGCTGGAGCCACAGTCAGGGACAAACAGAGACTACAGCGCATTGTGCGCTCTGCAGAGGAAGTGATCAGCCGCAGCCTTCCATCGCTGCAGGACCTGTACGTCGCCCGAGCTCGAGGCTGGGCTGGTCGTATCACAGCCGACCCCTCTCACCCTGCACATGGACTATTCCAACCACTCCCCTCAGGCAGGAGGCTGCGGTCCATCAGGACTAGAACCTCCCGCCACAAGAACAGTTTCTTCCCCTCTGCTGTTGGACTCTTGAACACTTCTTAACCTGTCCCCCCGCCCTTTATAAAGTCACTTTACTGCCCATCATACGACTTTACTTCACTGTACTGCTGTCACCTTACATTGTGTGCACCATGTGCACTTGTATATTGTAAATAGTAACTGTAACTCTATTTTAAATTTACATTTATTCTTTAGAAGTGTTTTTTATTCTTGATTTTTATTATCTCTTTCTGACTATTGCACTGAGCCAAAGCAATTTCCAAGTCTGTGACCTCCTGTTACTTACGTGGCAATAAAAATGATTCTGATTCTGATTTAAATGTATTTGAGTTGTTTCTTACATTACATTTCTGATCAAATGAAATGATTGCAATTGATGTGGTGAATGTGACTTTCCTGGTCTCACCCACAGGTTTTGCACAAACATGTCCTTCATATTAGACTGGATCTACCGCAGCTTCAGCAGTGTCTTGCAGTTTTTAGGTAAGTGGTGTTAATCCCCGTATCTGCCCTTTTCACATTTGAAGTTGTACATTGTGATGTGATTATCGGGGACATAATTTCTATTGATTAAAAAGAAAGGTCCTGGGTTTATTTCCACCTCTAGACATGGCTTTTCTGTGTGGAGTTTGCATGTTCTCCCCATGTTTCTCCCAGTGGGTTTTTGAGTTTTTCCTTGCCGACGCAGGAGGGTCTGTTAGACTGTTAGTGTCTAACAAAAAGGACTGTGGTGATGATCCAGGACACTCTACAACATGTATTGACATATATCAACATTCATGGACATTGGTCTCTCCAAATGGACCAATACGTGTTCTATATTTTTTGAGTTTGAACTGTTGGATTTTCTGATCTGTTTTGGCGATTTCATCGGTTTTGTTAAGATAACTACTGTTGTGATGTACTCCATGTGCTCCAGTTTCACCTACAACTAAAATCATGTACAATTGGTTAGAATGTAATGAGAGAGTGAAGGGATCGTGATGGGATCGGGCTTTTAATGCGCCAGAGGTTTCACCGCCTTGCTCCTGTCATCACCGTGTGTGCAATGAATGGAAATGACTGTTACTGTGAAATGCGCAGTAGAAATCAAGATTATTTACTTCAGTAAGAAAAATAGCTATAAAAGTGACATATTGAACCTCTGAAACTATAATCCAAGACTTTTCTACAGCCTAAGGCTCTCTCCAGTTTTTCCTGAAGGAGGATGATCTCAGTACAGCGGATGCTCTGGGACATTTATCTATTTCCTGTCAACATTGGATATTCCACAGTATTTGTCTGTTTTGACCAATGGCTGATAATTATTGAATTTTCAAATCAATTTATTAACTTCTGCTGTTGGTATTTTGTGTTCACATACATTATTATATTAATTGATTTTGAGAGTCATGTGGTAGGTGTTTAAAGCTGGGGTACCTATGTAATAAAAATCTATTGAAATATACAATAGATAACATGTTTGAAGCCAGCATGTTATGATATGAGTTTACTTTTACAAGATTCCTACTTTTGTGACAAGCAATATTTATGAGACAAACATTAGGCACTCCAGATTTAAGGCCCATCCTTCTATAATATTTAAATGGACTGTATTCCAGGTTTGTACAAGAAGACGGGACGACTGGTGTTCCTTGGCCTTGACAACGCTGGAAAGACCACACTACTGCACATGCTTAAAGATGACCGACTGGGACAACACGTGCCCACGCTACACCCAAGTATGCTCACGCACACACCTATATGTGATTTTGTTATAATGTGGGACCACCTGGCCAGGCCATCATTAGCGGAGACCCACCATTCTGAGGGCCCTACAACAAAATAATATGGATATATCCAGAAGAAGCTGCTAAAACAGAATATCTGTTCATAAGTCAAAATTTCCTTAAAAAATGGTCCCACACCTGACATTTACTCAATTTTTAGTTTGTGTTTTCATTACTTTCATTTCATTACTGTGATTGGTCAACTTTTATGGCTTATATCTGGATTTAAACAGACAATTTCAAAATAAAAATCCCAGGTTCATTAAGAGCGCTAGACCACCAATTTTTAAAGCCCAAAATATGGTGAGCATGACAAACTGTTATTTAGCTTAAGAAATGTGTTTTACTGTATGTCAATAGGAGTCAGAGCGATAGAGGATTTGCAATGTCCATCTATATGTATGATGATGTGTTGTAAATATACAGTACAGACCAAAAGTCTGACAATGAGTGTCCTTTCTTTTCATGACTATTGACAGTAGATTCACACCCAGGCTGTGTAAGGGCTGTTTGACCAATAAGGAGAGTTATGGGGTGCTGGGCCAGATGACCTGGCCTCCACAGTCACTGGACCTGAACCCGATCCAGATGGTTTTGGGGTGAGCTGGACCACAGAGTGAAGGCGAAAGGGCCAACAAGTGCCTTTGTCTCTGGGAACTCCTTCAAGGTCAACAGGTCACACTACCTCTTGAAGCTCATCAAGAAAATGCCAAGAGTGTGCGAAGCAGTAATCAGAGCAAAAGGTGCTACTTTGAGGATCCTAGAATATAAGACAAATTTTCAGTTGTTTTTTTTTAGGTACGTACATAATTCTACATCAGTTAATTCATAGTTTTGAGGCCTGCAGTGTGAATCTACAATTTTGATTGTCATGAAGATCAAAAACTCTTGAGTTCAAACTTTTGGTCTGTACTGTAATATGATCTTTGTTATCTCATACAATAATTGTTATCATTATACTAATATCCAAGTTTGCTTTTTTACTCTAGTGCTTTATATTTTTCTGTAGCATTGGATCATTCATACAAAGTTTCCCCAAACACACGCACGCATGCGCGCACGCACGCACACGTTTCACTGTGACGTCTGTGTGTCCAGCCTCAGAGGAGCTGTCCATAGCTGGGATGACATTCACAACGTTTGATCTTGGAGGCCACACACAAGGTAAAGAAGAGAGGGTACAATGATGTGACATTTGTATTGTAGACGACGTATGTTATTGTCGAATGAATCCTGTATTTCCTTTTCTATTCTCAGTCGTGTTTACCTCTTTTTCATATGAGAAATGCATTAGTGCTTAATCCATTGAGTACCTGTGAATCAATCATTTCGCACTTGGAGAAGGTTAGACAAAGCAAGAGAAAACATGTGATTTTGTCTGCTATGAAGTTGAAATCTCATTGAAAGTGATTTTGTATTGAATGCAATGTTAATGGGGCGACAGTAGCTCAGTTGGTAGAGCATTGGCCTTTAGGCCTGAAGGTCGTGGGTTCAATTCCCACCTTGATATCTTCTCCACCGACTCCCACTGATGTCTTCTGTCGTTGTGTCCTTGGGCAAGACACTTAACCCCACTTTGCCCAAAGCCCCCGCTGAGAGATCATGGCCATCCTCCTGTGGACTAACCACCTGCAGAGGATCAGTGAGGGGCAGGTGCTCTGTGACTTGGGTGGCATCTCTGACTGCCACCCCCCTGACCCAGAAATGGATTAAGGGGTAGAAAATGGATGGATGGATGCAATATATTCCATCACAAGTACTATGCATTTAATTTTTTTTTTTTAAATGTTACATACCTGACTAACATCTCCCTTAGCCAGAAGAATCTGGAAGAACTACCTCCCAGCTATCAATGGGATCGTGTATATGGTGGACTGCGCGGACCATGAGAGACTCCTGGAGGCCAAAGTGGAGCTGGATGTAGGTTTGAAACTCTGTGTTAATACTATTACTGCTATTACCCCCACTATTAATGCTGATTCTAGTACTGATGCAACCTCTTTATTGCAGTGCTTGGAAAACAATTATATATTTTGATTATATTAATAATTATTTTTTCAATGATGGCAGGTGAGGCTCTGGCTCCCCTGCCTCCCCTGACTGCACGTCACTGCAACCGACATATATGAAAATTATTGTTTTTCATTTTTCCATTTTGCAATGAAATTTATGGGCTTCCTGTTTGTCAGGGGGCATGACCATAATAACTTTGTTTCCATGTCTTGAGTTTAAGAACATGTGTACCAAATTTCATGGCTCTACGACAATTTTGACCTCGAACCCCTCCCATACTAAAAAAGTTGACACCATCTGTAGGGGGCGCTAATGAGCCAAGTTCATTTATTTCACCTACACCCTAGAGTTGAACAATGTATTAAAGTTTTGTGCAGTTTTGTGCAACCATCACGTTGTGGTGAGTGACGGGCGCTGATGCGTCCGTCACCCACCGCCACCCCTTGCATTCACCATTGTGAAAGCAGTAGGCCCTTACCCCGTTCGGGGCTCGGGCCTAATATAAGTGATCGTCATCCCTTGGGAGGTACAGTGAGGGTCAAAGAAGTGAAAGAACAGTGATGATCCAGTAAATTTCAGGACATTTATCAACAAAAATGGCTACTGATCATCCGGCTCCTATTGACAAAGGGTTTCTATGTGTTTGTTGTCATTGCATTTCTTGTTTTTGAACGGTTTGATCTGTTGTCAATTCAAAACGGTTTGAATTGATCACTTTGTAAAGTCCTCCAAGATAACTGCTGTTGTGATATAGGGCTTTGTTTGTAATTCCCACATAGTTCACCCCATCTTTATGTAAATAAAACACTGACAATCTGCTGTTGTGATTCAAAAAGGTTAATTTTGAAAATGCTTAAATGAGTTTTATAGTTTGTTTGAAAGGCAAGTTTAGATGTATGACCTTGTTAAAATGTTTCGGCTGCATAGCTGCGAGCCATCTTCAGAACTGTGACCCGTTTGGTGACGTGTCATTTATCAGCTGATGTTACTTCCTGAGTAGGCGTGGTCAGCCTGATTGACCTGGCAAGTCGCTTAGACTGACCACGGCCCCTCTTGCCCAGTGGTCTCTGGAGGAGGGTGTCCCATGTGTGGGACAGGAGGAAAGCTCCTTCATCTCGGTTGATGCTGTTGTTGCCCTGAAGCGGGAAAACAACAGCATCAACCGAGATGAGGGAGAGACCTGCCAGGTTAATCAGGCTGACCACACCTACTCAGGAAGTAACATCAGCTGATCAATGACATGTCACCAAAGCAGGTCACAGTTCTGAAGAAGGCTCACTGAACATGGTAACAAGGTAATACATCTAAACGTGTCTTTCAAAAGAACCACAAAAAGCAATCTTCTGTTATATCTTGATTATTGCATTTAAAATGCATTGTTGTGGTGTAGCATCAGACATAATGGAAATTTTGTCCCATGCTTTGTATACTCCACAAATCATATAGAAATTAAAATATTATTATTATCATTATCATTGTAAAAATAACATTTTAAAGATATATAAGAAATAACAGATTATTAATGAATTTATCTTTGAGATGCCTTTGTGATTAGCAAAGCTTCTGTGTATATCAGAGGTATTTAACCTTTTCCCCACGAAGAGCTGCTGTTTCAGAACACAAATAGAAGAGAGCTACTCATGTAAGCGGTTTAAAAAAAGTGTAGTCCATTCTATATACTGGTGACGTGCCTTGGATTTCTTCATGGTACGATTAGATACCCAATCTATTATCCATATAACAGTTGCCAGAGTTAAACAAAGTTGTCATTTTAAATATTAAGCTACTTAGAACAGGGTTGGTGAGCTACTGGTATCTTCTGAGCCCTGGTGTTTGCTGCTGCACAGACGCTCTCAGCACTGTCCACAGCTGAGTAAGTATTAGCTGTGTTTGTGATGCGCTCAGGCCCTGCTGACCGATGACACCATCTCCAATGTGCCCGTGCTGATCCTGGGGAATAAGATTGACCGACCAGAGGCCATCAGTGAGGACGCTCTCAGAGGCATGTTTGGGCTGATCGGACACACCACAGGAAAGGTGAGGAATGACACACCATGCTACAATACTATGTAGAGTCACTTTCATTCACATTATGTAGTAGGGAGCTGTTGTGTAATATGGCTTAAGCATTACACATAATTGTGACGCCACCTGCATCAGTGATGGGAGACCTCATTTTAGGTGGATCACTGACTTCCTGACGGACAGGAAGCAGCGAGTGCGTCTGGGGAAGAATGTCTCGGACTCTCGGATTATAAATACAGGAGCCCCACAGGGCTGTGTTCTTTCTCCCCTGCTCTTCTCCCTGTACACCAACCACTGCACCTCCAGCCACGACTCCGTGAAGCTGATCAAGTTCGCGGACGACACCACCCTCATTGGACTCATCTCCAACAACGATGAGTCCGCCTACAGGAGGGAGGTGGACCGGCTGGTGTCCTGGTGCAGTGGTAACAACCTGGAGCTGAACGCCCAGAAGACAGTGGAGATGATTGTGGACTTCAGGAAGAGCACAGTCCCCCCGCCCCCACCCTCCGTGATGGACTCCCCCATCACCTCTGTGGAGTCCTTCCGTTTCCTGGGCACCACCATCACCCAGGACCTCAAGTGGGAGCCGACCATCAGCTCCCTCATCAAGAAGGCCCAGCAGAGGATGTACTTCCTGCGGCAGCTCAGGAAAGCCAAGCTGCCTGCACAGATGTTGGTGCAGTTCTACACGGCCATCATCGAGTCCATCCTCACCTCCTCCATCACCGTGTGGTTCGCTGGAGCCACAGTCAGGGACAAACAGAGACTACAGCGCATTGTGCGCTCTGCAGAGGAAGTGATCGGCCGCAGCCTTCCATCGCTGCAGGACCTGTACGTCGCCCGAGCTCGAGGCCGGGCTGGTCGTATCACAGCCGACCCCTCTCACCCTGCACATGGACTATTCCAACCACTCCCCTCAGGCAGGAGGCTGCGGTCCATCAGGACTAGAACCTCCCGCCACAAGAACAGTTTCTTCCCCTCTGCTGTTGGACTCTTGAACACTTCTTAACCTGTCCCCCCGCCCTTTATAAAGTCACTTTACTGCCCATCATACGTCACTTTACTTCACTGTACTGCTGTCACCTTACATTGTGTGCACCATGTGCACTTGTATATTGTAAATAGTAACTGTAACTCTATTTTAAATTTAAATTTATTCTTTAGAAGTGTTTTTTATTCTTATTTTTATTATCTCTTTTTGACTGTTGCACTGAGCCAAAGCAATTTCCAAGTCTGTGACCTCCCGTTACTTACGTTGGCAATAAAAATGATTCTGATTCTGATTCTGATTCTGATTATCACCACTGTGGACTAACCACCTGCAGGAGGATCAGTGAGGGGCTGGTGCTATGTGTACTGGGTGCAGCTCTGACTGCCACCCCGCCACCCAGAAACGGATTAAAGGGAAGAAAATGGATGGACAAATGCCATGTGAAGCACCTTTGAGTGTCCACAAAAGTGCTATGTAAAACGTTGCACACATTATTGTTTTGTTATTAATATTCACATTATTCACATTTTTTATTATTATTTCAAACTGTTTTTGTTTTATCACTGCAGTGCATTTATATTGGTTAAAATATGTTTTAGGCGTGGATTATTCTCCGCAGTGTATCGGAGTCAGCACGTTCCTATTGGAGAAGCAGACAATGTAAATGTGTTGTTTTAATCATATCTAAAATGAGCGCTTTGCAAGGCATCTGATTTACAAAGAAATGACTAGTTTGGATAATGGAAAGTAAATTTCTACATGAAGATATGTTATAAACTAAATGAGGCACAGACTCGAGTCTGTTGTTTGTCAAAATGATTATTGGTCAAATCTACCTTTGAAGATAATGAATATTATTCAATTTGTTTCTGCCTGAACAGTAGCCTTCTCAAAGGATTTTACAGATCAGAGAATGAAACATTTCAATCATAGGAAATGCAATAATAACAAACACAGAAGCCTTGGTCCATAGGGTGCAGGATAACCACTAAGTTAACTTAGGTAAAGCTATACTTTATTGTCACCGTAGGGAAATTTGTCCTCTGCATTTGACCCATCCATCACTGCCACTAGGGCCTCTGACAGAGAAGTAGTTCTACTTCCAGGCGGGACCTTTGGGGTTTGCATGTTCTCCCAATTTCCAGGTTTCCTCTAGGTGCTCCAGTTTCCCCGACCACTAAAAACATGTGCAACAATTGAAATTTAGCCCAAGGTGACAATCTGGTGCTCAATAAAGCTGTTCATTAATACACACTGTCCCATTTAAATAGATAAATAAGTAAAGATGTGACAGAGGCCAAAAATACATGAATGTGAAAACTGTTTTGAGAGCTAGGAACTATCGATACATGAACATGGTTATTTTTTGTAGTTTCAAAGTTGGGTACTCCAAATTTCAGCATACACTCTATTCGGAGGTAAATGAAGAACTTTCCAACCTTCTAAACACAGAATTTGTTTTGTAAATATCCATATTAATTTCTGTCCAAAACATTGACACATGGAAGAGACATGAAATCTATTCTTCTCCAAATGATTGAAGTCTTCCTTTCCTAGCCGATGCACAAGGTTAACATTAGTTAACCAATGGTTACATGGTTAACTAACATGTGTTTTATTGTTGTATTATGTGTTTTCCCTCCTACAGGGCACTGTGTCTCTGCGGGACCTGAACCTGCGCCCTATGGAAGTGTTCATGTGCAGTGTGCTGAAGAGGCAGGGCTATGGGGAGGGCTTTCGTTGGCTCTCCCAGTACATCGACTGAAGCACACACGCTCCAAACCTGTGTTAGCTGGACTATATGCGCTTGAATAGACTTTGTACGACATATAGTGCTCCTTTAATTCCATATTTCAAACTGTACAGGCTGTCACGTCATAAGGTGGGCATCACTTATCCACCGGGTGTCAGTCTGATTTGGAAAGAGCCTGGCTGTGTACCTTGACTGAGTCTTCTGGGATCAGGTCAAACTGAACAAGCCTGAAGAACATGTCAAAGCTGTGGATAAATTCTTGCTTTATTTTTAACTGCTCGTGTTGCCTTACAGTGTTAGGTCATGCTTACACAGACAGTGACACCTCTCTGGTTCAAGCAATAAGCAAATATTTGTTAAAGACAAGCAAAGAAAATGAAGAAACACTATTTATAATGGCATACTTCATGACGATGACATAACAGTGCTTTAGGTTTGGTGGTAAGCCATCTAAAAATGACCACAAGTGCACTGTGTGAGGGGATGTATGCAGGAACTACATGTGTAAGAATTAGGGCGGCACCATAATGGAATATGTGATTATGATATACAGTGCCTGTCAAAAGTAATAATACTCTTTTGAAATCTTGCACATTTTGTCATGTTACAGCCACGAACATATATTTTTTTTTATTTTTGATGTTTTACTGAAAGACCACAACAACGTTACAGATAACTGTGAAGTGAAAGAAAAATTATACTTACTTATACTTATATTTGAATTCAAAACAAAAATCAGAAACTCAAAAGTGCTTGCATAAGTAATCATACAACATGAGTACATACTATGTAGGATCCCCAGCTACAGCAGTTTTTCTTCCAATTATGTCCTGTATATTTTGCTGCATCCACCTTCCCAAAAAAAAAAGCAGGGAACAGCATGATGATGCTGCCCCCATACTTTATTACTGGGAATGCTTCACCGAGAGAGATGAGCAGTATTTTTTGAGCCATATATGTTTATGACAATCTTGGAATAAAAGCTTCTGGAGCTGGGGATTCCACATAGTATGTACTTGTGCTGTACATTTACAAATGCAAAGCCCTCTTTTCTGATTTTTTTAATGAATAATTTTTCTGTCACTCTTCAGTTGTCTTACGTTGTTGTGTTGCTTCCAGTAAAAATTAAAACTTAAAATCTTTGTTTGTGGCCGGATTAGAATCATTTACTTTGTCTCGTGCTGTAAAAGTACTTTGTGAGCAGGACGAAGCAGACGTCCTGTGAGAGTACTGATCTGGTGCCAGTGCATGCAATTTTATTATTTAATGTGATTTAATAATATCTTTATTTGTAAATAAGCTATTATTTATATTTTAAGTAGGAGCAGGTTACATACGGACACTCGGCCAAGTGATAAAAATGCTATGTACTTAGAGTCCATTATAACTCATATAGCAGTTTTTAAAATATCTATTTTGACATTGTTCTGGTTGTGGTTTATATATGTTCATGCCAAACTTGACCTAGAGAAAAAAAAATTAAGTTGTGAAATGCACTACAAATTAATTTTATCTAATACTACCTATAATTCCACCTACCCCCTAAGATAGATATATAGATACTTTATTGATCCCCCATAGGAGCAATTCAGTACCTCTGGTTGGGAAAAGTATGTAGTATTTTCAAGCGGATTAAAATTTAATTTTGTTGAAGTCAATAAAATAAATAAAATATGTTGTTGTATTTGTTCATGTATGTATTTCCATACTGTATAAAAAACATGTATTAACGTACTTACTAAAACCATTTTTGGGTGGTAGACAGATAGCAGACTATACAACCCCCTTCACACATGCCACAACAGCGGTATCATCCGAGTATTTTATTTTGCACATGGCATGTAGCAGAGCTGTGTGCAAAGTCTGCAGTGTAAATTGTGAAGAGGAAGGGAGCCAGAACTGTGCCCTGTGGTGCTCCCGTATTGCTCACAGCAGTACCAGATACGCTCTTCCCTAACCTGACATACTGTGACCGCACAGAGAGGTAATTGTGAATCCAGTTGGTAAAGATGGGATCAACTTCGTTCTCCAGTTTCTCACTAAGTAAGATAGGTTGAATTCACTAGAGAAGTGGAAGAACATCAGCCTGCAGGGGGTCAAGAGCCTGCTCGACCTGTGGCATGAGCAGTCAGAGTAAAGTCTTCATTATGACAGATGTTAGTGCCACTGGTCTGTAGTCTTTGCATACGGTCAGCCTTGCTACTTTGGGGACGGGTACCACAGGAGGTTTTCCAGCGGGCAGGGACACGTCCAGTTTGACTCTTGTTAAAGATGGTATGGAGAGGCTCAGCTAATTAATAGTTACTTATGTAACTTAAGTTCTACGAATAGGTGCGTAGTCCCTTAAGACTTCGCTAGTGGGATATCACGTGACCCCCAGGTCACACGCCAGAGAGATAAAATATATATAAATATGCTCCAATCACTAGCGACCCTCCTCTATAAAAGCCCCTGCACAAGGCCGCGCCCCCTCTTGAACTCTGCCAAGCCGGGCTGGCCTGAGGGGCTCGTAGCTAAGGGACTACGCACCTATTCGTATAACTTAAGTTATACAAGTAACTATTAATTCTACGTCATGGTGCTACGTCCCTTAGGACTTCGCTAGTGGGACACAACGCGGAGGCCGTAGGAACATGTACTCCCAGCAGGCCAGCGAAGAGTGATTGGAGCCCCGCCCGAGCAAGACTCTCACACAGTGAGAAGACTCAGGGGAGTAGAGTCCCCTGGTGGCGTTCTGCGGGTCTACCTCTACTGCTGCGCCCCGACTTAGCAGAGAGGAGACCTCCACTTGCAGTGCTACTAATGACCCCCGTACCTGAGAGCGTGCTGCCCACACGCCCCGGAATGGCGGTGGTTTTCGGGAGAATTGCAATGCGTAGCCTCTGCGCATGGTTTTCTCCAGCCACGGTTCCGACAGTAGGCCCTACTCCCTCCAGATGCTGTAGAAGTCTGTGAGGGGCGGAACAGGAACTGGAACACGAGACGTCACAGCCCCACCCTCTCCTGGTGCTCCTAGCAAGGAGGGGAGGTGAACGAAAGGGCAGAGGGGCCTCCTGCGTCACCTCGTGTGCGCCGGGGGCGGTCACGTGTCCTGCAGGCCCGACGTCATAAGTCCAGGCCTGCTCATACCATGTGACTCGACCGCTCCACCCCCCCTTGACGCTTGCCTCATGGAGGGGGGGGGGGGGGGGGCCTGGAGTGGGAAACCCTGTGCTTAGCCCCGTAGCTCAGAGGAGCTAACACGTGTTCGACCGAAGCACACACACCACTACTCACCAGATCCCTCTGCTTGACCCCTCTCTCGGAGGGCATAGCATGGATCAGTGGACCGGAGCTCGTAGCCCGCGTAGCACACTGCACACCCTGCTCTGGGGGCTGCAGGCCTAGCGGGGCAACGTTATGGGCTCGGGAAGTAACACAAGCAGACACATCACACATGTTACATACCCCCAAATGAGTCTCAGACAACGAGTACTGATGAAATTCCAGGCGGCCTTTATTAGCAAAAGTTTTGCCACCCCGGCCTCCTCTACTGTAGGGAGGCTGGCGGCGGGTGCGCTGCTCCCTCGGGCCTCCCGTGGGTCTGTCCGGACCCGGGGGTCTTGTCAAAGGGGGACGATGGATGGTGGAGCGTGGGTAGGGAGCGGAGTGCCTCCTGGGCGAGCACTCTCTGCCTCTGTCCAGGCTCCGTGCAGCTTTGTGGGCCTCGCGCCTCGGAGCTAGGTGCTGTGCTAGCCTAGCCGAGTCCTTGGCCGCAGACTCCAGTCTGTCCACCAGGGCCTTCATGTCAGGGCCGAAGAGGGACGTCTGGGACACGGACAGGTCCAACAGTTGCCTCTTCTCCGCCTCCCTGATGTTTGCTAGCCCAAGCCAGAGGTGCCTGGCCCCGACTTGGGCTGCAGCCATGGTGCGGCCACCATCCACGGCAAAGGCCTGGCTCATGCGCAGGAGAGCCGCGGAGGTGGTCCTCGCCTCTGTCAGGAGGTCTCCGCTGAGCGCCTGGCCAGCGGAGAGCGACCTATCCAGGGCCCCCGTGATAAAGGCCATGTTGTTAGCCAGGGCGACGACCTGAGCCGCGTTGGTATAACACCTGTCCAGCATAGCCAAAGACATCTTGTCCCGCTCGGAGGGAAGGAGAGGTCTGGCGCCGGGCCACACGGATGCGGAGGGTAGCAGAGCCATGCGGACTGAGTCCTCGATGTCCGGGACACCACCGGCCCAGGACCAGTCCTGCATGCTGCAGTACATGCCGTACCCCAGAGCAGGCCTCTTGGCTGCTAGGGGCTTTGGCCACTCACGTGTCGCGTAATGGAGGATCGGGTCCATCCGCGGGCACAACATGGGTTGCTTCCTCCTCCTCCCTCGAGTGGTGGCGCCCACCGAGGTGAAGTGCTCCACCGCCTGGTCCGGCTGCGGTGGTAGAGGAGCGTTCAACATGGCCGCCGCGGAGGAGTAGAGACTGGGCATGTGATCCAGTGGGAACCAGTCCGGCTCCGGGTCTCGCTGGAGTTCTCCAGGCGCTGGAGCACCGGAGAACTCACGCCTGCGCTCACTCTCCTCTCTGGGGAGAGCGAGACACGAGGCGCAGCTAGCGCTCTCCGCCGCATGGCCCGAGCCCAGGCACAAGAAACAGCGTGAATGCTGGTCCGTGCGCGGGAGCCTAACCCGACACTCCAACGACGTCCGACGCCGGAGGGCGAAGGGGAAATCGGACGAGCAGTCGAGGCAGACATCTCAGCAGACAAGTAGATGTAGTAGATGTAAGTATGATCTCAATCGGCGCCAGAGTGAAAGAGGGGGTGCGGCTTGTACAGGGGCTTTTATAGAGGAGGGTCGCTAGTGATTGGAGCATATTTATATATATTTGATCTCTCTGGCGTGTGACCTGGGGGTCATGTGATATCCCACTAGCGAAGTCCTAAGGGACGTAGCACCCTGACGTAGAACTGCGCTGCACATTCCTTCAGGAGCCTTGGTGTTATCCTATCAGGCCCAGCAGACTTCCCCCTCTGGAGCTTCTTTAGCTCCACCCGGACATCCTCCACACAGTGAAGAAGAGGTGGTGTAGCCGCCGGGAGGAGCATGACTGGTCACAGCTGCAGAGGTAAGTAAGTAAGTAAGTAATCTTTATTTATATACCGCCTTTCACAGACCAGAGTCACAAAGCGGTTTACAATTGTTATTTTTGGGCATTTGTCCTCTCACTCCACACAGAGATGGGAGCGGGGTCGCCGAACAGGAGGCGCATGCCAGACCTATTGTACATATTTTTAGTGGTAGGGGAAACCGGAGTACCCGGGGACTACGCACACACAGGGAGAACATGCAAACTCCACTCAGAAAGGCCCTGGTCCGACCGTGCCGCCTCAGTGGTGTAACCACTGAGTGGAGCAGCACTGGTCACAGCTTCAGAGGTGGTGTAGCCGCCGGGAGAAGCAGGACAGGTCACAGCAGAATCAGCGTGGACAGGGGAAGAGTCGAATTGGTTATATAAGTGGTTAAACTCATCAGCATTCTCGGCCACCTCACTGAGATTAAGAGATTTTTTTATTGGCTAGATTAAAACTATAGCAAAAAAATGTATAAATCCCTTTCATATGTGCCTGATTAAACTCTGATCAGATTATACCCTAATTACATTTTGCTCTACTTATTTTATGTAAAGTATATTTTTTTATTTTGCATGTGCAGTAATGTTTTTTTTGCGTGAAAATCCATTTGTCATATTTTGTTTGCATTTAGTGTTATGAATTTAATATTCCCCGTTTGGTTTTAACAGGAAAAGTCTCTTGAAAAACAGCAACATTTTCAAGCAAATACGTATTTTTAGTTTTGAACTCAGTATTTTTTGAATGAAAACATTGTATTAAATCTGTCATTTTCTTTACAAATGATTAACTATGGATCTGTGATTAACATACAAAATAAACGCTCCGTCTTCGTAACTCTCAATTCCATTGGACCAATCAGGGCGAACTATGACATAAACAGGAAGTTGGACTGTTCACAGGGAACAGGCAGGGAACATGAAGTCCTCTCGTTACAAACACATTGTTATCACCATTATTACCCTTTAGCGACAATGCACGGGTATTCCTCTGCACATCCCGCTGGAGTGACACATATTTAGTCTCGCTGTTCATTATGGATCTCGCTGACACTGAACTCAGCTGCTGCGTTGTAACTCTATCCGAAGGCAACAAGTCTGTAAGCTGTAGCGGCGTCATTATCCACCCGCAATCTGGAATAATCATATGCACTGGGATTCCCTTTTCTCGTTTCACAGCCAACAAAACGCCTTCAAACACAAACGAGCGAGTATTAGCGGCGCGTCGCTTTAGTAAGAAGCTCCGAATCCAGGTCACATCATGCGCGCAGGCAACAGTCTCCAAACCCTCTCCTCGCCAAACCACCGCCAATCTCCTTATGTTAGTCAACTGTTTAGAGTTTAGACAGGCTTTCCAATCTGTGTTCCCTTCCTCTCAGCAGTGGCGCTTCTACAGTGACGAAAGTGAAGAGGATGTGTTGAGAGATGCCCAGTTTCTAAGCTGGTTCGCGGTGTTGAAAGCCAAAGATTTTCGCACGCGTCCTTTCCAAGTAGGAGATGTCATCCCGTGGCGGGACAGCTCTTCTCTGTGCAAGGGCTGCCCCGTAGTGGCGTGTGGAACCCCCTTTGGATCCCTGTTTGTGGATCTGTTCACTAGTACGCTCAGTAAAGGCATTATAAGCAATCTTACAGGGCAGGAGAATGCTGTGATTCTGACAGATGCGCGCTGCTTGCCTGGTACAGAAGGTGGTGGCTTGTTCACGCTCCAAAGCCCAGACAAAGTGCGTCTCATCGGAGTGGTTGTGTCTCCTTTTGGGTGGAAGGCCAGCGAGTGGATAGGACTTTCTTTAGTTTGTTCCGTTCATGCGATTTTTAAGAATATTTTGAAGGTTACAAAGGAGAATCCGTTGCAGGATGTTGGGTTGAGGGAGAAAAAGGCTTGTATGGTGAGTACAGCCGGAGGATGGGGCCCGGTGCATCCAACAGTGTGTTTGGTGGACAGCGGGCAGTTCTGGGGGTCAGGGGTGCTGGTGTCTCCACTCCTGGTTCTAACCTGCCGCCATGTTGTAAATGGGAAGTCTACAGTGACGCTCAAGTTTTACCAAAGTAACAGGTGCGTAAGTGCTCCTTTCATTATTTCTCTCACACCTCCAGACATGGGGTGTTTGCATGTTCTTATGTTTGTACTGGTTTCCTCCGGGTGCTCCGGTTTCCCCTAGCACTAAAAACATGCAAAATAGCTCTGGCATCCATGCTTTCTCTGTGTGGAGTGAGAGGAAAAATACCCACAACAATCATAAAGCTCCTTTGCAATCTACAGGTATATAACATTATTTATTTATAATGTTTATGGCTATAATGGACAATTATTGTGATAATAGATTAGTTGGCAAATGATTCATTTGATTAATCACATAGATCGTTTAATTTAGACCATGAAAGCTTTGTAAATGATGATTTTTAAATAAAAACAAATTAGTCATAAACATTTGAAATGAAATATACATCTTTATATGTGTGCCCAGATAGCAGGTCACATGTAAAAAAAACATTTTTGACCTTGAAAAAAAGATCAGCTCAAAAGGAGTAGCAAATGGGGGGCCTCCCATGGGGCCCTCCCCCTTTCACAACTACTGGTCAAAGGTTAGAACAGCAGTTATGAGTTTTGGACAAAAGTCTACCCACACAGCTGTAGCCAGTAACGTATCCATAAAGAGAAGTACCCTTTTGACTTAATCCTCTTTGATAATACGTAAAGCGGCATTATGTCAGTAACAAAATAATATAAAAAATAAACATATAAAAAAGTCACAGTATGTCATTTTCTGGAAAGAGATAAAACACCTACAGGAAAAAGATCTATGGATATAAACATTTAAAACAACATTATGAACCGGTTTCTGCAGAAATACAGTGTGTTATAAACTTGAACTTTTGCAAAATTTATCATAATTAAAAACACAAAGATTCAATGTTGGATATTTTCCCCCAAAAGACCACTAACAAAGTAACAGACTGTGAAGAAAAAGCATATGTTACATGAGGTAGTTTATTTATCAAATAATAATAATAATAATAATAAAAAATACAACCAATTGGGGCTTGCACAAGTATTCAGCCTCCTTTTCACTGAGTGCAACTGATTGTCTTTAGAAGTTTCCAGATAATTGATGACCAAATGTCAACCTCAGAGTTAAATACAGGCCACCTGTGTGTAATCTACTCTCTGTATAATTCTAGTTGTTCTGTGAGGGCCCAAGAGCTATGGTTGGAGTGTATTGGTCACTAAACAACATGAAGGCTAATGGTGCTTTCAGACCGCCAACGCTGAAACGCTAAAGCCCCACTCACCAGACGCGCATTCTCTAGTTTTCAGACGCAGGGGTCTTCAGACCGAGATGTCTTGACACGCGCCGGAAGTGCCAGAAGTAGCCGGCAGGCTATGATGCTAACAGAGATTAGCTAGCGGCTTCTTGTGTACAGATCTTCTCCAATATGCAGCTTTGCAGCGTGTCTTTGTTCAGAGACCTTCCATGGGCTTTATATAACTGTAGTATACGTTCACGGGGGTGCGCCATATGTTTTTTGTATTATTAAACGGTATTTCCGCATCGGCGAACAACCTCGAAGCAGTTGCATAAGGTCACTGGAGCATGAAAACCCATATTTTCAACCCTGGTTTGAGTTCTGGTGAAGCCTGGTGTGGGTCCTGTTTTGGCTGTTTACGAGTATTGTCAGTCCGCTAATGTCCCCGTGACCACTTTACTGCTCTCTGATTGGTTGCCGCACGAACGTCCTAAGGAAAGGATGAGGAGAATCCATCTCCTGTGGGCGTCGATTTTTCGCTCCTCCTCCTCCCCTTTGACTTTCCCGCCAAGTCCGTGCGTCTCTACTGAATAGTCCATTCGTGCGTGCCGAGAGGTCGGTGCGTTTTGACGCTCGAACGTGCGTCTCCATTGACTTTGCATTGAAAGCATACGCAACGCATGATCCGGTCTGATGGTGCTTTCAGACCGCAAACGCTCAAACGCTGAAGCCCCGCTCACCAGACGCGCATTCTCCAGCTTTCAGACGCAGGGGTCTTCACACCAGAACGTCCTGACCAGCGCCAGAAGTGGCGGAAGTAGCCGGCCGGCTCTAATGCTAACAGAGTTATGCTTGCGGGTTCTCGTGTAATGATCTTCTCCAATAATGCAGCTTGGGAGGGTCTCTGTGTTCAGAGACCTTCCATGGACTTTATAGAACAGTAGTATGTGTTCACGGAGGTGCGCAATACGTTTATTTTATTATTAAACGGTGCTTCCGGATAGGCGAACACACTTGAAGCAGTTGCATAAAGTCACGGGAGCATGACAACGCATATATTCACAAGCACACGGTCCCCCATTGTCAACGCTGGTTTTAAGTCGTGGTGTAGCTCCTGTTTTGGCTGTTTACAGTATGTTCAGTCTGCTGAAGTGGTCTCGCTCAGACCACTAATGTCCCCGTGACCACTTTGCGGCTCTCTGATTGGTCGCTGTCCGAACGTCCCGAGGAAGGTTGAGCAAAGTTTATCTCCTGTGGGCGTCCATTTTCCGCTCCTGCTCCTCCCCTTCGACTTTCCCGCGCAGTCCGTGCGTCTCTACTGAGCAGTCCGTTCGTGCTTCCCGAGATGTTCGTGCGTTGTGACGCTCAAACGTGCGTCACCATAGACTTTGCATTGAAAGCCGACGCAACGCATGATCCGGTCTGAAAGCACCATGAAAGCACCATGAAAGCACCATAAGGAGCCCACTAGAGAGGTCAAGGACTGACTTGTGAAGTTTTAAGCAAGGTCAGGTTATGCAAACATCTCACATGATTTTAAGATCGCACATTTGGATCCATCAATGGATCCAATGTGCAATGGAAAGAATGTAGCACAACTGCAAATCTCCAGACTCGGCTGTCTTCCCAAACTCTCAGCTTGAACAGAAAAGAGGCCAGTGGAAAAGAGCAGACGCTATTCTAGTGGCTCACATCATAGACACATGTGTTTGTCTTTAGAGCTCTCAAAAAGAATATTCTATTGTATTCTAATTTGTATGATATTTTTGTGCCAAAAAAGTGCGGCTTTAAGCTGCAGCTGCTTTTGATCGCAGAAGTAAGTAATGATATGACACTTGTTTGTCTCTTGCGCAGCTTCCAAGACGTGCCTGGGGACGTTCTGTTCTCCACACAGGAGGCCTCTCCCTATGACTTGGCTGTGGTGAGGCTGCGGGACAGTGTGGGGGAGGCGCGGGTTCCTCACATGTCCTCTAGGTTTGACACAGGTGCGTAGCCACGATAGCGCTGTTCCCTTGGTCTCCTGCTGAATTACACAATCAAATAACTAATCAGTCACACATTTAAATGTAAAGGAAAAAAAAAGGTGACATTTCTGAACCGGAATTGGTGGTCCTGTTATTTTTGCCTAATACATTTCCCTCAAGCCATCCCCACTCAGATTAGATATTATCGAGTGCGGTTTTGAGCTGGAAAACTGTACTTGAATTACTGCATAACTGTCCCGATTCATGCTGTGTTTTGAAACTTTACATCTCAAACATGTGACCATTGGCAATTTCACATGGGCCTCCACACGTTTCAGTGACCAGAGGTTCCTCTGTGACCTTTGCACAGAGCTGATTCCAAACCACATAAAGTTGTGTCTGCTGTGTCCAGTGAAACCAACACGCATTTCTGATCGCTACACTAAAGCCTGGTCCTTGTGGTCCAAGATTGAAACCCTGTAATGTTTATCCAGTCCAGTTTATCATATCCTTCTTCTCTCTTTTGTGTACAAACGTAAAATGAGAATAGCCTGCTGCAGTTTGCCAGCTGCACTTGTCTCTGTATAATTTTAATTGTATAGACAAACTTAAACACATGCAAGTCCATGTGAGTTTTTTATAGGATTAATTTTCTTCATATTCTGCTGTTTGCACAGGTCATGTGACTTTCCTCCAATCTCTTTATGGAAAACGTCTACAAACCGAGCCCGGCCTGGTCCTGCTCTAAGCCGGGCCTAGAGTACCTTGCTTTAGCAGCTCGACGCTACTCACTAGGGGTGGGAACCTAAGGGTACCTCACGATACGATACGATACACGATGCAAAGCTCACGATAAGGATAATATCACGATATGACAATTATTGATATATTGGTCAGAAATATACAATATGCCAATTTATGGCATAAATAAAATAAAAAATACTCTTTATTTCATGATAAATGGAATGGAGATGCGTAATGTAGCCATATATTAAGTATTGATACCAATTAAAAAAAAAAAAGTACAAAAAAAAATAAAAAATCTTTTTTTTTTTTTAAATCGATATCGATACATTGCAAATGCATATCGATAATCGAATCGTGGGAGAAAGTATCGCGAAATATCGAAAAATCGATATATGGTCACACCACTACTACTCACTCTGTGAAATCGTGCAAACCATCGTGCCAATAACCTGTATTGTAAAACTGTTTTAAATTAGGTATGACATGCACACAATGATTCTCATTTGACGGAGCTGGTATTTGGTATAGTCAAACAAAATCAATGACAAGTATGTTTATGGCTACAATGACTAATTTCGGGTTCTATACTTATGTTGATTGTTTTCACTTTGCCTCCCCCCTGGTGCTCTGTGCAGGCGAGCCCGTACTGGTGGTGGGCTATGGGGCTTTGGGGCGCAGCTGTGGTCCCTCTCTGACCTCCGGAGTCCTGTCCAAGTGCATCCGCAGCAGCACGCAGCAACCTCAGCCTGTCATGCTCCAGACAACATGTGCAGTGCAAGCCGGCACCAGTGGGGGCGCTGTCGTACGGCCACACTCTACAGAGCTTCTCGGTAAGACCAGCATTACCGTTTGTCTACAGGAGGGGGCAGGCTGGTCCTGGAGAAACCTCTGCAGAACAATGCAGCGGTGGAGTGTGTGCTGGTAAAAGATGTTTCCATCAATATTCAAGTTTGTGCTATGAGGATTTGGAGAGAAAAAAAAACATCTTCAAACACTGGAATATAATTAAAATGTACGTGATATGAGATAGATGTTCAAATCTGGGTTAATCCATACAACCACCAGTTCCATCCTTCTTTGTATATACTGATTAATATAGCTGTGGTGTGAATCAATATGGTCATATCTTTAAAAAGTCAGAACAGTCCAATTCCAGTCAAAACTGTTTTCCAATCCATGTTGTCAGCCCCTGGATCATTTTGGTTAACTGAATCTTCATGTATGGAGGCTATGTAAAACTTTTTGGGCCAATCCATAACTGTTTAGTAATTGATTAATCTATATATTTTTTAACCTCACATAGACTTAAATTTGCTGAGAAAAGGTTTCATGATCATTCTTTGACTGCAGAATGAAATTATCAAGGTATTTTTAATCAAACAATAGTAATGCATCGGTTTTATATAGCACTCTTTTGGACATCCAAAGAGCCAATATTAATTCGCTTCATACACTGAAGTGATAAATTACTATTGTAGCCACAGCTGCCCTGGGGCCGACTGACAGAAGCAAGGAAACCAGTATGTGCCAACGCCCCACCACCACCAACTATTCATCCACACACCAGACTCATTCTAGGCCAGAGGTTGGCAACTCAAAAGGTTCAAAGGACCATATTTGACAAAAAAAAACTAAAAACAACATCTGTCTGAAGCCCCAAAAAAATAACAGCCTTGTATAAGGCTTATATGAAGGTAACACAGACCACAAGCTGTATTAGCTATATTAGCTTAATATCTAAATTACAAAGTAAAGGCTACAAAAACATAATAAGCATTCATGATTATCAAATGTGTATTTTCACTACTTCATGTCCTGTAGAGAATGACGCACCACGTGACGACTCTGCTTTAAGTTTATCTTCCATTTTTTTTGTAGAAATACAGTAAATAAATCTGCTTTTTGGCTCAGGGTCTACATACCTCCATCACCACTGTCTGTTCATATCATCACGTCACAGGCTGAAGTTGGCTGGAGCTGAATTAATGTCCTTAATGGCTCTTTCTTTCACCGTCTTTGCAGAGGTTTTTGAAGTCTGAAAGTGTTCTGAATTTTTATGAATGAATGCTTCACGTAATGACCGTGCACAGTGTTTTGCGCTTCATTGTTCCTCGTGTTGCAACAAAACTTCTTATTACGACGCAGACATAAAGCAGTCCTTCCTCATTGACTGAACGCAAATGTTCATTCTTATTCTTAGTCCCGTTTTATAATCGACTCTTTCTCTTTTTAGCTTTGGAATCCATGGGCACAAGCTGGTTTTTTTACAACAGCAGCCGCGTGGCGCGGGGCCGTGTCAAAGGATATGACTCACTACGTTGACAGAAATGTTGAAATTAAATATTACTTACGCACATTTGTACAGCATTTAAAAACGTTAAGAATGTTTTTCCTCCTATAAAAACCACATTCAAACTAGAAATAAAATATAGCCCTCCCACTCAATTTTCAGACATTTTTGAAAAGTCTGTTTTAGGCAATGTGGATGAAGTGTCTTGCCTTAGGACAACCGTTTCACACTGTACATCCGCAACCAACTCACTGTGACAACTGGTGTACCTAGAGGTCTCCCATCACAGTACTAACCAGTCCCTGTCCTGCTTGACAGGATCTGACTGATTCAGGCTCTCACATGCAAGTGGTACCACAATGTCTCCAGGAGCATTACTTGAGTGTTGTTTTGGTCAAATGTAAAAAAAAAAGTGTATTCATTAGCAATGAATATACACACAGCACTTGAGAAGCACGCTGCACAAAAAGCACACACAAAAATCAGCGAAACAGAGAGGAAAAGGTAAATGTGTAAGGCGTTGTTGTAAAAGTAATGATTAAACACAGTCCTAGAGAAGATAGAATGTTAGTAATTAACCATGATACTGTTTCCTCAGGGATTGTCTCCAGCAACACTAAGGACTTTGGCACCAACACCACATACCCACACCTGAACTTCTGCATCCCTGTGACTGTGTTCCAGTCCACGTTAGCGGATTTCAGCCGGACTCAGGATCTGAGAGTTTTTACAGAGCTGGACCAGGTGAACGAGGACGTGCGGAGAGTGTGGAGGCTGCAAACGACACACACAGCCAGTAAACTCTGATCGTTACCACCTTCAACTCCCATTAGAATTACATTTATTTTAAATTATTCTGACTACCGGTACATTTTTGCTTGAACGTTTGTTTGTATAATTTCTCCAATTCCTGATGTTCAAGGAAAATTCTGCATCTTAACAATGAACAATGAACTATCTACAATTTTCTCTTAAGTGCCTTTCCCTTGATGAATTTGTATAATGGATTTTTAAATATTAATATTAACATTTATTAAACACATTCACCGGGCTTTTCACCAATTTTCTTATTGAACTGAAAAATTACTTTAAAAAAAGAGACACGTTTTACTAAGATTGGTTTATAATCTATTATTGATCTTTTAATTATAAGTGCATTATGTAGTTTTGAGTAGGAGGGTCTCAAGCATAGAGAAGCTGTGGTTTTGCCTGGAGATAAAGCTCTTATTCTTGGAAAGTGTCATCAAGATAGCGTATTAATTGACTTCACATTTTGGAAAGTAACTTTAAATGTAATGGTGCTAATGGTAATTTGTGGAAATTAGTCCACTAGACTGAAAGCTGGATCCCATCAGACCTTTAAGCAGGACCTGGTTAGTACTTTAAAGGGAGACCTCTGGGAACATCAGGTGCTACTGTGGAGCGGCTGCGGCTGTAAAGTGCCAAACTGTCGATTTGTCCTTGGGCAAGACCCTTTACCCAGATTTCCTAGAATGAGTCTTGTGTGTGTGAATGGCTTGTGATGGTCGGCGTGGCCGATGGAACATACTGGTTGGCTACACCATCGTGTATGGAGTGTCTCATAACAAAAAAAAGCACTATAATAAAACCGATGTATTTTTATACAAAAGCAGTATATATATCTGGGGTGACAGTGGCTCAGTTGGTAGAGTAATGGCCTTTGGGCCTGAAGGTCGTGGGTTCAAACCCACTATGAGACCTACTTCACGACACCCACTGAGGCCTGCTGTCGTTGTGTCCTTGGGAAAGACACTTAACCCCACTTTGCCTGAGGCTCCTGCTGAAAGATCTCAGCTCCTGTGGACTCACCACCTGCAGGAGGATCAGTGAGGGGCTGGTGCTCTTTGTACTGGGTGTATGACTGCCACCCCCCGACCCAGATATGGATTAAGGGGAAGAAAATGGATGGATGGATGGACAGTATATATAGCATCGTTCACACTTTCAGGAACCCAAACAGACACAGCCACAAACTTTTCTACAAACCGCATTTTTGATCCATTTGTGTATAACTCGACTCACAAAGCATTTACACTTCAAAGATTTTGTCAAGCCTTGTAGGAAATGACAACTGGACTTCCTGCCATTTTTATATTAAAACGCTGGTTTTCTTTGAAAAATGCTGGTACTGCAATTGTTACAACTGCCTCATTCAGCACAGTATTCCATTGAGAACTCCTATTGTTGTGATGCTACAATCTCAGCAGAGCCAGTAACAATACACTTTATATCATGGTGTCATTCTACAAACGGTCAGAATAAATGCATGGGTTGATACTATTTGCTCTCTGGTTGTATATTTTCACCATCACATCTGCAGCCATCTTCCTGATAGATCTGGGCTGCCTCTTTCTTATTTTTAGCTGTGTTGTGCATAATGGGTTGCCAGGTTGCTGTGTGTGATTGGTCCCATTGGGCTGGAGCTGGAGAAGGCTTGTCAATATTAGGCTTTTCACACATCTGTTCGTCAAAGCAAGGCAACTCCGCGGAACAGATTTCACCTAGCTGTCAAAATGCAGGGATTGTAATCTGATCTGTGCTTGGAAATTGCCTATAAACTGGCTTCATATTTCTATCACAATTTGTTCTTGCAACTTTATAGACATAATTAAATTAAATCAAATGTTCATTTTGTACATCTTGTTAAAGCCCGGAACTTGGATCCACCAAATTGTTTTTTACCCATACTTTGGGCTGTAAAACACAAATCATTACATATATGTTTTTATGTAGATTCAATTTGTTTTTTTGGTAATCCAACATTAAACAAAAAAAAAGTTTGTTTTCCTTTAGGCTTTATGCTTGTCGTATATTGAAGAGGTGGGTTCCTATTTTAGTCAAAAATATGAACTTCACAAAGTTGTCGATTCCCCAACAGATCAAGTTCTAACACAGAAAATGCAAGCATAACACACATAGGAGCCAAAAAACAAGGTTAGTCCAAAGATAGTGGGATGTCCTTTATCCATAAATCTTAATAAATGTCCATACATTGTTGATTTGCCTGTGTCATTTGGTGAAAAAAAACAATTACCAAACTATTTTTAACTTGATCTAAGAATGATCTTATTGAAAACAACATTTGGGGCTTTTTATGGCAAATGTCTTCTGTGACCCAGACATGGACCAGGAGGCTTCAGTAGTTCAGCTTCAGTTCCAGGTTTTGTGTGAGCCCTTTTCAGCAGTCTCCAAAGCCTTGTCCCCGTCTGATGGCCCAAATGGAGACTGCACTTTGCTGCAAGAGCTGTGACATTCTTCGTATGTGTAACACAGAAATAGGTCTGTAGGACTATATGGGACACCAATACAAATGCCTGAAGTTCAGTATTCATGAAAAAAGGACAAATACTTTTAATAGTAACAGTATGAGATTAAAACACTGCATAAAGTATTCCACAAATCTATATGTTATACTTAATATTAGCATCTGCTGATTCCTTTTCATGATAAAATACAATTGAACACATATAAGTGTTCAAAAGTTTATCACAACTGTGATAAACTACTACGAATGATAGTAGTAGTTCATCATAGTTTTAAATGCCACTGTGAAGCATGTCCAATAATATGTAAAATCAATGCATTATTATTGTTAATCAATACTAATTTGGTCAAATATAGATTACTTACTTTCACTTCATCATCTTCAGTTGTCTCCTGTGGTTCGCTTCACCTCTTCACACGAGGTCCACACCCCTTCCTGTCTTCAAGCCTGAGAACCTGCCTCATCCTGCCTTGAGTAAAAGTCCTCTAGCAGGTTGAGACCTTTTTGCTGAGATTTTTGTAATGTAGCATTCCTGAGGCTTCAGAAGCACCATTGCCCTGCAGTAACGGTGAGGCACACTCTCGAGTGTTGGAAGTGTGATGATCGCTACATATAGGCTCTTCAACTTCACAACTAAAACATTACCAGTTATACACAAAATAAACGTTTCTTAACCAATGGCCAACAACACACTTCATGATTTCTTTGTTTAGAGTTGTGTTTGGATTTTAACGCACTGATACATGTTCGGTTGCGGTTGTTGAGGAGTGGCCCTAGCACTGGTTTAGAACATAGTCTTGTCTACATCCTGAGTTCATATCCCCATCTTAACTGAAGTTTTCAGTTAAGTTTTCAAGTTTTCATTATAGGAAATCAGGTGTTGATGTCCAGAGCTGATGACGTAGCACACATTCTTGCTGCCCTGTGCGTTTATGTGAACAGCAGGGAGAGACACACAATGAAGTCAAGGGGTTTTAATTTTAGTAGGATTATTATTGTCAAAATAGACTGAATTTACCTTTGGGTTGCTCCATCAGCTTTGGGTTGCTCCATCAGCTGTTTATGTTACATTACAACATCTGCGGCTTATATTCAAGTGAGGCTTATATGTGGACAAAAATTACTTCAATAATATTTATATATGCGGTTTAAATACAGCTATTAGTCAAGGGAGTACTGTACATATATGCACACTGAGACATTATTGTATTATATGTGCGTGGATATTAGGAGCCAAGGAAAAGTCCATAGCTCAACACACTAATATAAGATCGTTTGCAGCTGTGGACAGAGACACTGCTGCAGAGTTGATCATAAAGGTGTGATGCATGAAGGAAGAACGCTTTAGTAATATTATGTTTTTAAAGCGATGTTGATTTACATTGATGTACCTCAAGTACCACTGGACAACCGATAATCAAGTAAAACCATACTTTATAGTCTACTCTATTTAGTAAAAAACTAGCAGCAATATTTAAAGGCGCTATTCCCGTTTCTGCAAGTTTTTTTTTAGTTTGAACGTTTAGCACCGCCCCCCAACTCGCTCACAGGCTTCTCATTTCCCATAAATATAAGTATCCTAAACTCAAGCATGACCCAAGAATACCTTTAACCATGGCTGTGTTTTATAACCTCATACCGTTTAGCTTTCATTTTGTCATTTTCGGCACTGTGGCTGAGTGGATAGCATTCTTGCCTCTCTTGCAAGAATGTCCTGGGTTCAAATCCCGGTCGGAATGGGGTCTTAGTGAGTGGAGTTTGCATGTTCTCCCTGTGCTTGCGTATGTTTCCTCCGGTTTCCCCTACCACTAAAAACATGTACATTAGGTAAAATCCCCCAGCTCTGGTAGTCCTGACCAAGCGGAGCATCAACACCTGGAGATGGGTTCCCGGGCGCTCCAGATGTAAGCCTTAGCGGCATCAGGATGGGTTAAATGCAGAGGGTGAATTGCCCTATGAGAATCAATAAAGTGCACCTTTACCTTTTCATATTCTCTTGATTTTTAGCTGAATGTTGATATTAATGAATTACACATTATTTTTGTATAATATATTGTTTTTTATTTTTAATATCCATATTTGTTTCTGATAAACAGAACTATATGTTTGTGTGAGGACCTGCCCTTCAGATTCAGATTCAGATTCATTTATTTGCCATTTGCAGTAAAACCACATAGGAAAAACTGTGCAAGACTACCCCGGTGTGCACCAGACAGAGGAGACGACACACACCAGAGCTCTTGCCACGGCGCCATCTTTACGGCGCCATGCGACAAACAGTAGAATAAACAGCAGAGAGCAATAACATACAGTATCACAGACAGTTGGATAGACACATTGTGCCTTGTGTAAAGCACGGATTTTTTCTCGGGATGAAGCACCTCCTACAGCCGGCCCAATGTGGCTGTCAGAGGGGGGCGGGGTCAGGGAGGGGGGTGAGTCGGAAACACAGTGAGGAGTGGAGGGGAGGGAGGGAGCAAGATGGATAGAGAGGGAGGCGGGGGAGACGGGATCCGAGCTTGAGACTGAAGTGTGAGATTGTTGTAGAAGGGACCTTTGTTATTATGGCCTTGGCCCGAGGAATGTGAGATAAGAGTGGAGAGAAGACACAGACACAGCAGGAGAAACACATCGCCTCAGGGGGACAATATTAAATGCAATGTCAGGCAGATATTCTATTAAATCCAATTAAACCGAATTGCGGCGCCCTCAGACCCCGTACACAGGGGCAGATCCAAGCCGGGTCAGAGAGTTCAAGCCTGACAAACAATGTCATTCAATCTCAACTCCAGAGTCTTATGTCCATCGAGTGAACGAGCTGCGAGGTCTTTAACCAACTGTTCCACTAAAACCACTCTCCTTTGACCAGACACGGCACTCTCAACCACGATGCGGCTAAGCTCCTTGTACATCCCATCAATTTTGTCGGCCAGCAGGTCGTGAATCTTGCGAACTGCCATGCCTCCGAATTTGTGGTAGAAGAGAACAGCTCCAAAGCCAAACAGGAGGATTCCCACCACCAAAATGCCAAAGATATATACGTCTTCCGAATCTTCAATGGACAGGGTCGACAGACAGAGGGGCTGATACTTGTTCCAGCTGTCAAGAGTATACCCCGCTGGTGAAGTCCCGTCCGGACACACGGGCTCTCCAGACCCACGCTTACGTGTTGAAAAGATTGAATCAATTGTGTTGAGGGACCAGTTAATCATTTCCATTCTTGTTAAAGTTGTCTGTGTTTCACCGGTGTCTTGTTAGCCCCTTTGTATTCATATCCTGTGTGGTCCTTCATTCCCTGTTCTGTCATTGTGGATTCCACATCTTGGATAAAAACAGATCCAAACCAATCCTGCTCTCCCCATTTGGATCCCTTTTGGTTTTTCACTCTGCATTTAGTTTTGTTGGATTTTTTTACGTTTGTTAAATTTGTGGTTTCTTCCCTTCTGAATCGTGACTGTATCAATATCCGTCTTGAAGATACCAAGCCCTATTTGTCACACTAAGACAAGAATCATGGTCCACAATGCTGCAACAAACAAGGCACACAGGAGCTTCATCTTCATAAATCACAGAATACTGCAAAGGCTAATAATCTGAAGACACAATCCCATTAATGATTATGAATCCTGCCCTTGTGGGGAAATCAATACACTCACGCTGGGGGTGTACGGTGGCCTTCGCAGCCACATAGACAAGAATCTTTTATTTATTTTTTGTAATAAACACAATAATCGATCCACAACATGACACAATGAACATATTTGCCAACCATTCTGCTAATCTTTCCGAGCGCCGAATATGTGAGCACACCATATGTACAAGCGTTGTGAGGTGACAGATGCACGCATGAAGCAAAAGCGAGTGGCGTGGCGAGGAGAGGAGAGAAAGAGGCCTCCAAAGGGTGCTTTGAAAACATTCTAGAAACTGAATTATCCAAGAGAAGAAGCAGTTTTCATATGCAGTGGTTCCCAAACGTGTAACTATTAATTCAAGGTTGCTTTGAAGAGTCTGGTAAGGAAGTCATTAGTGACGGTGAAGATGCATTTAACCTTGTTTTGGACCCTACTGTACGTCTTAAAGCTGGGATCCCGGATTTTCAAAAAGACCAAAATAAGAATTATGTAATAGATGTAGCTTCTGTTCTGTCTTTAGATCAGATTTTTCAAACCCAAAAAGCTTTGCTATGTTCAAATCTATGTTTACCGACAAAAACAACACACTTTATCAAAAAGAGACAAACCACAAAATATCAAATCATTTAAGTTATTCCTTGCTCTCAAAACACTTATCCTCTATCACTAATTTTCACATGCATGCCTTTTTGGCCTCTGTCACAAGGAGAGGACCATCCTCACTCAGCCAATCAGCTCTTAGCCCACAGTGTCAAAGAGTGACTCACTGGGCTCTTCTTAGCAAGTATGCAAACTGTAACACGTTTTCTAATCAGATGAAGACAGCATGTTGTGGTCTGATTTTTTCACAACCTTTTACTTTTATTTATGGCACTCCTTCTATTAGGACAAACACATGTTGTGGTATTTGTGGGGTAAAAGTTAGGTACCCCAGCTTTAAGGAGCTTACACATCAAACATTGGCTCTAAACAGCCCTAAACACTAGGACTTAATGTTTAACCATGATGTCACTCAAAGTTAAGCCACCATTCTACTCTTTCTGGAGTAAATTTAAGTACTTTTTTAGAACAGAAAGAGTAAAAATAGCTACATAAAGTTATTTGACACCCTCCTGTGGACTCACCACCTGCAGGAGGGATCAGAGAGGGGCTGGTGTTATGTGTACTGGGTGCAGCTCTGCCACCCCCCCAACCCAGAAATTGATTAAGGGGTAGAAAATGGATGGATGGATGCAGTTATTTGACATGTTAAGTCAAGATTGGATGTCCTTTCTGGGAACAGAAAATAGCTCCATCTAATTATTATTATTATTTTTTGCTTCTGCACAAGACACTACACCAGCCTTTTTAATTCTATTTTTCCACACCACATTTGGACATAATCTACCAGCTGCCGCTACTCATTATGAGGAAAATGAACAGGTACATGGCCTTCCTCTGAGACTAGCTTCCATCTGCTTTTTGCTGCGGCTTGAAACTCTTGTGATATCAAACACTTAAAAGCTGAACATAGAAAAGTTAGACCAGAGAAAGATCAAACGAATATAGTGTAAATGTGTCACCTTGCATTCGTTTGACCAATTTGACAGGTTTTGGAATCTTTACATCACGCCGACTCAAATCAGCAAATAAGTTTGGGTAAAATTGTACAAGAATTTAGATACGACACCACTGCACTTCTCGCTAACTCTGGGCCACGTCCAATCCCTCATTTCTTGTCGGCCTCTCCCTGATTCCTTCCCTTGATTCAGGATTTGTATAAAGAGGAAGAGGGAAGGAAAGGAGGAGAAGGAAGCAAGGAACAAAAACTAGACCTGGCCCCTGTCAGGCAAAAAACTATACTTTCCAAACAACGCATTCCTCACACATTTTCCACAGAAAACGAAAAGAGTATAGGGTGAAACAGGCTGAATTGCCCTGCTTTACATAATCAGAATAACTCCAGGGATGAACAACGCATTTTAAGAACACTTTGAGAACCACTCATCTGAAGGCAATCTTGACACAAACATGGACAGTCCAATCGGTTAAAAACGCACCCGTGTTTTGCGAGTGCCTGCTTTCACGTATGCATCAGCTAAAACTGCTTAAAGACGTTTAACAGAACAGATATTCACAAGAATGAGAGACTAAACTCTTAAACGCAGAGCTAGTAATGTCTACGGTGATGTTTTAACCCTCTATTTTACTGTACTGTATATACCCCCATTTTCAAACATTCCTTTACACAAAAACTTCGGTTTTTACAATATGCATCTTTCTAAATGCACACACGCTTCTCCCCGGCCTTCCTTTGATCCAAGCGCTTTCAGAGTGTTTTTGTTGAGTGTGATTGGAACCGTGGTGATGCTCCTGTCAGATTTGGGATTTGGAGTGGCTTTCCGTAGGCTCTACCAGATGTATCCTCCGTCATCCACCTCTCCGGCCTCACCCTCCTCCTCCTCGGCTTCCTCCGCAGTCTCCTTCTCCTCCTCGTCCTCCCAACCCACGCCGCTGCCGAAGTCGCCTGAGTATGTCATCTCGTCGCCTGGGGAAAGAGGAGGGCAGAGAGGACGGGATGGGTGAGCCACCAGAGAGCACAGCATGTACAGAAACTCAACAGTCACTCAGCTTTGAGAGTGTCAAAATGAAAAAGATGGAAGTCTCCTATACGTTTCTTGGGTTTCGGCTGGATGACAAAATAACCTTTAAATTTCTGAATTGTGTAATAGTTTAAAGTCAAGGTTGTTAATCTATTGCAGAAATAAATCCTCTATACCAAAAATTTGCATTTGACTGGTGTGCAAAACTTTATCTTATGTTCAGTTTATTAATTTCGTTCAGAAATATCTACCAGAAAATAAAATAAAATAATAATATTATATTTGGTTAAATGTACTATAATAAAAAAAGAAATAAAAAAACATGAACAGAGACCTTTTTCATTTACAAGTGTAGCCAAAAACAGTTGTGGCCCAACTTGTTTTGGCTACACTTAGGTGACCAGACTTGTCAGTGTATGCAAATAAAGTCAATGAATAGATTTAATATATCCTGAGCTTTACGACGAGCTATAGCAATGGCAGAGCTGAGGTTGGCTGGATGACACTGTGAATGATCCCAATTGCAATTTGAGTTAACCAGGCATAGTTAAAATGACTTTCCACATTTGGCCCTAAATTAAACCTCTATTCCATTGAAAACTTGATTAAAATCTAGGTTGACTTTTCTTGTCAGAACTAAAAAAGACATACAAATGATGGACTCATTGGAAAACTGACAGACTCTTTGACATGTTTGCGCAATTAGTGAGTAAGTAAGTAAGTAATCTTTGTTTATAGCGCCTTTCACAGACCAGAGTAACTAAGTGCTTTACAATTTCAACTGGAACTCTGAACGCACTACATATTTTAAAAAACTGTTGAAAAGAAGGCGTTTAAATATTGGCTGTTTGAAGCAGTTCACATCATCGTCCAATGCGTGATGTTTCTGAAATCCAAGTTTTAACAAACCATCAACTACTCTTTATGGTTGTATGTTGTGTGTTTATGTCTGTGTCGGTGGGTGCAAAACGGGTGGTGGGTTCTAAAAAGGTTTTATTTATGTTTTTATGCATGTTGTGTATGTGTGTGTGTGTTTTTAACATTGTTTTTTAACTTGCACCACTCGAAGCACCCCAGCTCCCCACGTAATGACAATTAGAACACCTGTGCCTTGCGTACTAAAGGATATGGGGAGGGGGCGGAGGAGGGAGTTGGAGAGTGACACGCCAGACACGGTGAGGGGAGAGCCCCGTGGTCTGGCGTCCCAGGCCGGGGCCAGGAATAGGATTCTTTAGTTTTATTGCTTGTATTCATTTACTTGTTTTTAATGTATTTTATAATAAATAGTTTTTAATTTGCTTTTAATCCAGTGGTCTCCTTTTTAAACTCGGGTCCAAAGAACCTGTTTTTCCTGTAGGTTCTTTGGACCCAGTTTTTCCTGTTTTTTTTTTGTATCTGTAAAAGGTTTTTATGACTACTGCTGAAGAACAACAAATGGAAGTAGTTTTGCTTTTTTTGGGAATATTTATAATGTATTTAGAGATGTTCATTAAAGTGATTGTCTGGAGTTTGAGAGGTACTTGATTTGAAAAAAACGAAGCAAGCTCCCTCCCCCTTCCTTTCTGATTGGTCTACACCTACATTTCCGTAACACATTTAAATGTTAATCAGAGAACACATTATACATATACATTATTAATACAAACAAAAATTATGTTTTTATGCACAAAAAAAGCGATCACGGCAAACCAGGAAGTGCTATTATCATGAATTGCACATTATAGGACACATCTGCAGAGGATCTGATTATGGATATAGGTTCAGTATATACATAAGTACCTCAGCACGGATGTTCAGAATTCTTTGTTCAGTTTTCATGTAGATCCAGAGCCTAAAAGAGGCTTGATTCGGAGGCTCCGCGAAAACAAACAACTGCGCATGCGCGAAGCTACGAGCATCAGCGCCGATGATTGACAGCCCTTGGCATGACTCGATTGGTTAACCTCAACCGTGGATTCTGAACTATAGCTAAGAGCAGGGAAGGCGGTACATGCCCGTAATATTAGAATGAATAACAATGACTTATTTTATATCAACATTTAAGGCGAGGAGGTCAATTTAACACATTTCCTAAAATGTGTAATTCATTTAGAGTTACAGACTATCACTTTAAGGGGAGCATAACTTCATCGCAAACTTTTATCAGATTTTGGCCATGTTATATCCTCCTATCTGTGTGCCGTCATTGCTCTCCTCTCAGTCCTCAGACTACCAGCACCCTCCCCTGCTGAGACCTAGCATCTTCCCTTTTACAGTGCCTTGCGAAAGTATTCGGCCCCCTTGAACCTTTCAACATTTCGCCACATTTTAAGCTTCAAACATAAAGATATAAAAATTAAATTTCTTGTCAAGAATCAACAAGTGGGACACAATCGTGAAGTGGAATGACATTTATTGGATAATTTAAACGTTTTTAACAAATAAAAAACTGAAAAGTGGGGCGTGCAATATTATTCGGCACCCTTGCGCTAATACTTTGTAGCGCCACCTTTTGCTGCAATTACAGCTGCAAGTCGCTTGGGGTATGTCTATCAGTTTTGCACATCGAGAGACTGGAATTGTTGCCCATTCTTCCTTGGATGGAGAGCGTTTGTGAACAGCAGTCTTCAGCTCTTTCCACAGATTCTCAATTGGATTCAGGTCTGGACTTTGACTTGGCCATTCTAACACCTGGATACGTCTATTTGTGAACCATTCCATTGTAGATTTGGCTTTATGTTTTGGATCATTGTCCTGTTGGAAGATAAATCTCCGTCCCAGTCTCAGGTCTTTTGCAGACTCCAACAGGTTTTCTTCCAGAATGGTCCTGTATTTTTCCCATCAATTTTAGCCATCTTCCCTGTCCCTGCTGAAGAAAAGCAGGCCCAAACCATGATGCTGCCACCACCATGTTTGACAGTGGGGATGGTGTGTTCAGGGTGATGAGCTGTGTTGCTTTTACGCCAAACATATCGTTTTGCATTGTGGCCAAAAAGTTCGATTTTGGTTTCATCTGACCAGAGCACCTTCTTCCACATGTTTGGTGTGTCTCCCAGGTGGCTTGTGGCAAACTTTTTATGGATATCTTTGAGAAATGGCTTTCTTCTTGCCACTCTTCCATAAAGGCCAGATTTGTGCAGTGCACAACTGATTGTTGTCCTATGGACAGACTCTCCCACCTCAGCTGTAGTTATCTGCAGTTCATCCAGAGTGATCATGGGCTGCATCTCTGATCAGTCTTCTCCTTGTTTGAGATGAAAGTTTGGAGGGACGGCCGGGTCTTGGTAGATTTGCAGTGGTCTGATACTCTGTTTAAAGCTTGGGAAATCTTTTTGTATCCAAATCCGGCTTTAAACTTCTCCACAACAGTATCTCGGACCTGCCTGGTGTGTTCCTTGTCTTCATGGTTCTCTCTGCGCTTTAAACAGAACCCTGAGACTATCAAAGAGCAGGTGCATTTATACAGAGACTTGATTACACACAGGTGCATTCTATTTATCATCATCAGTCATTTAGGACAACATTGGATCATTCAAAGATCCTCACTGAACTTCTGGACTGAGTTTGCTGCACTGAAAGTAAAGGGGCCGAATAATATTGCACGCCCCACTTCTCAGTTTTTTATTTGTTAAAAAAGTTTAAATCATCCAATAAATTTCGTTCCACTTCACGATTGTGTCCCACTAGTTGTTGATTCATGACAAAAAATTATAATTTTATATCTTTATGTTTTAAGCCTGAAATGTGGCGAAATGTTGAAAGGTTCAAGGGGCCGAATACTTTCGCAAGGCACTGTACTTTTTGCAATTTTCTTTTCTGAATGTGGAAAATCTGCCTCGCATGGAACTTTTTGGTCGATCGAAATTTTTTTGTGTTGCAGCGTACTGTAGATGTGTGCATGTTTCTCTGACACTTCCTCAAAGGGGCAGGGCTATGTGATGACTTTTCATGTGAACTTTATACATGGCTCATAGATGACCATATTACATCAAAAAGAATCGAGTTATGTGCCCTTTAATGTGCACTGTGCCTAAAAAAAAAAAAAAAACGAGGAACACACAAACATCCAACACACAAACAGATAGCTAAAGGGACATTGGTGCTGGTTCTAATCAAGCCTAAACTAAGAAGCACATTTGTTCATCTACACTAAAATGTAAACCAGTCAAAGACACACCACCAAAAGCCAATTCCATTTATCTTCCGTTGGGTCCGGCAGCCAACACATGCGTGCGTTTGACATTGTCTTCATGCTAATAGCTTTTCCAAATATGTCCAGGGAATGCGCTCTTATCACAGCGGCTTCAGCCAGACCACGGTGCGCTCATTCATCTCCGTGTGCTCCTCTCCTAGCGACAGGCCCGTGGATTAGAATGCAAATGACTCTCCAGACTCTATGAATGTACTGAGTTATGGTGGAGAGGGACAAAGGCAGTGGTGGCCATTTTAACATGTTTGTTTCATATTCTTCCCATGTGGAGCTTGTACATGGTGGAGGTTGATTTGTGACACTGTTTAAGGGTACGATGTACAATGTCCTTGGGTGTTTTGAAAGGCGTGGTTAAAAAATATGTATTATTATTATCGATTCCACCATTGACTATATTATTGTTGTTTTCCCATTTCATATACAGACTCACAGCTATTTTCATTTGATAATCCATATTATAAAAATCTGGGATATGTGAAAAATTGGTTGAAATTGTATAAGAGAACCAGGATTCAACCCACAGTGTTGCAGTGCACATTACTCAAAAGGAGTAGGCTCTTGGCCCCTCCTGAAGAGATGTCGTCAGGAGGTGGTTCATCTACTTGGTCTTCCCTGCGTTGATTAAGAGGTGGTTCTGCTAACACCCGTCCACACAGTCCCTGTTCACACATCAGGAACAGATCGGGAACATTCCCCTGGGGAAACCCCTGATTTCATCTGGACCTAAGTCAGGCAGTTTCTGGCTCTCATACACAATGTGTCTGAGGTAGCCCAGGATCAACTCTTAAGTTTGGGACTGAAGATGAAACTTGTTTCTTTTTAAACAAAGTTTGAAATACACAAACTAGCATACACAAGACTATAAGCCAAAACACAAGACTTATAACAAACAATGGCTTGGCATATGTCACTTTGGATGTGTACAGTATGTCCATATCATAGATTGGTTTCACATTTCAAGTGGAATAACAACTTTTGAGAAATATTTCTTTTTCCGTGTTTCACATGTATCATAGTCATCTACTGGTGATATAGATTATCACTGCATTGTATAAAATACACACGTGGGACTTACTGCAGTCGGGCTTTCCTCTGATCCTGGAGCCGGCCATCTCTCCTCCCTCTTGGTCCACACACCAACACTCCCCCCGGTCGCACTGCTGCTTCCTGTAGAAGCCGTCCTCATCGCAGCTGGGGATAAAACGGCCTGCAGTGGAAAGGATATAAGAATAGGTGAGATGTATGGATTGACATGCGGGTACTATAGTGCTTAGGTGTAGGTGCAGCGCTGTTCTTATTGTCCCTTGTCCCTGAAAGCCATACATTTTGTCCCTGAAAGCCATACATTTAATTCAACATAAACAGTAAATGCAGGCCAATAAAACTAATTGAACATAATTTAAGCAGATTCTTTAAACCACAGACTGTAAACGTTTGGACCAATATAGATTAGCAAACAAAATATGAACACTGACCCAATAATTACTCCAATGTATACCGAAGATATATATGAAATTTTCAGAAACTGGAACTCAAGAAATGACAATACATAATTTGCTTCAAAGAACAAATATTCAGCAGTATATGTTCATTGTATCCCCTAAACATGATAATATTTTTGTAGACTTTTCATAGTATAAAATGCAAAAAGTCCTGTGTGGTCCTCTCTTTTTCACTAAAAATGTGAGAGGCCAAACTAACAGCACATGGATTTGGTAGTAGAAAATATATTGTTTGATATGTTTAATGGAATGTATTGACCAAAAGGACGAGATCGGGGATACAAAATGAGTGGCTGTGGGCTCCCTTAGAGATTGAGCGAGCAGCTTGCTCACATGAGAGCAGCTCGAAGTTGAGCTACTTCTTCATGTTGAAAGGAGCCGGTTGAGGTGGCTCTGCATCTGTTTCGGAACCCCCCTGCACGCCTCTCTAGAGAGGTGTTCTGAGCATGTCCCACCAGGAGGAGACCAGACCCAGGACATGCTGGATGTCTCTCAGCTGACCTGGAAACGCATTGGTATTCCCCCAGGTGAGCTGGAGGAAGTGTGTGTGAATAGGGAAGTCTGGGCATCTCTGCTAATTTACACAGGAGGCGTTACAGCACGTACGCGTTATACGCGCAGCAGACGCGCGTAACATTTTTCCATGTTAACCAATGGGGATATTTACACTACTAGTGTTATACGCGCCTATGATGGACGCTTAATTTAGGATGGATTTCTAATTTTGTGCGCGCAGCAACGCGTCTCCATTCAAAACACATAGGAAACATGATTCTAGCAGTCCTTGGCTCTAGATCGCATCCACACAGATCCACACACGCACGTACGCACGAGCAGCAGTGATTCTGGACATTGTTTTTTTTTTCATTCATAAAGTCTCGCGTCTGGCCAAACCAGCACACAGAGACCATGAAGACAAACTCCTGCATGTGATATGTGTTGCACTACATCAGTCCTCTGGCCCATACTGTCCATGCCAGTGGACATACAGCCGAGTAATGTTACGCGCATATGCCGCACAAAGACAGGAACAGTGCAAAAGAAACAACTGCACAGTTTATAAGTTATATATATGTTAGATATGCAACAGAACTCTAGTCCACAGTCTCCGCGTATATCAGGCTCTGAGCCACGAGCCCAAACTGCTTTTCCTTCGGTTCCTTCAAAGCACGAAGCAGTCTGCTCCAAAGTGCCTCGTCCATGTTCCCTGCAGCCGCTCATGCTTCAGCCCAAAACACACACACGGACCAATCACACCGCCGGCTGCGTAGTTAGACATTTTTGAGGGTGCGCGGCAGGCTACGTAAGGGCCTTGCGGTGATCCAGGCGTTACGCAAGTGACGTCACGTCACCACCGTAAGCTCCGCGCCACGCGACTATACACTAGGCTTTACGTGCGGTTAACGCCTACAGTGGAAATGAGTTGTAGACTGCTGCCCCCATGACCCAGCAACGGATAAAGTGGGAGAAAATGGATGGATAGATGGATGTAAAAATTCTGGCGGGATGTCAAGTTCAACACAGTTGTTGCACCCAAAGCTCAAGAACTTCTTCTCCGTTGGATGTTTGCAATGCTTCTCGGAGCCTGCCAGCTAACCATTTGTAGAAATTTGAAAGTGGCGGATAAATCCTATTCCGTGCTGAGTTAAGCACTGCTAGCAAGCTTTACAGTCTGTCTTCACAGCGTGCACTTTACTTCTCTGCAAAGCTTTGTACTGGTCTGTCTGTCGCTATCTGGCCTTCAGTCAAGCCACCTTGACACTGATTGGTTAATGCAACAGATTTGTTTCCATGCACTTTAAGCTACCATGGCCCAGCACTGTTGCTCCTGAAAACCTAAAGGCAGATCTTGGACACACATGATGTCTGAATAATGACCTCGGTCTGGAAGCTGCGCAACCAACTTAAGAAACCCATGAAATGAAGAGTATAGACAATGGGAAGTAATGTACATTACAGACCAAAAGTTTGGGCACACCCATCCATCCATCCATCCATTTTCTACCCTTTAATCCATTTATGGGTCAGGGGGGTGGCAATCAGAGATGCCACCCAAGTCTCATAGCACCAGCCCCTCACTGACCCTCTGCAGGTGGTGAGTCCACAGGAGGACGGCTGCTGTCTGACTGTGAGCATAGCCTTGATCTTTCAGTGGGGGCTTTGGGCAAAGTGGGGTTAAGTGTCTTGCCCAAGGACACAACGACAGCAGTCATCAGTGGGAGTCGGTGGAGAAGGTGCAGAGGTGGGAATTGAACCCACAACCTTCTGGGCTTAAGGCCAATGCTCTACCAACTGAGCTACTGTCGGTTTGGGCACACTTTCTTATTCAATAAGTTTTCTTTCTTTTCATGGCTATACAGGGATCAAGAGTTCCGAGCTTCCGGCTCGACTGCACGGCATTGTGGGTAGTTTTCTCAAAAAAGTGGGCATGAAATCACGCTCTCCTATTTGATTACCTGTTGCGAGCGTGAGCTGTCTCTCTTTTTTCCAGACCATCGATTGTTTTAATCGCTACAAAAATCACCAATTTCAGACATTTAGAAGGTAAGGTAAACATCTTTTCATGTAACAAAAAAGCAATGCATTTTTTTCTTGTGGTTTTAGATGTAAACACAACCGACTGACGATAGAGCTACATGTAGCTTATGCTACTTACGAGAATCGAATGTTTACACACGAGCTTCAAGGGTGTGCGAAGCAGTAATCAGAGCAAAAGGTGCTACTTTGAAGAACCTAGAATATAAGACATATTTTCAATATAAGACATATTTTCATTTTTTTTTGTACGTACATAATTCCATATGAGTTAATTCAAAAATATGAATTAACTCATGTGGAATTATGTACAATGCCTTCATTATTAATCTACAATTTTCATAATCATGACAATAAAAAAACTCTTTGAACAAGAAGGGCTTACTGGCCTTAAGGGTCTGCCACTGATGTGGAGGGATGAGCGGTGGTGCCTCTGTACTGTATGTGTTTGTTCATGGTCTCTGTGGGCTGGTTCTGTCAGACACCAGACTTTAGAAAAGAAAATAATTGATGTCCAGAATCACTATTAAAACCTGTAATCCCTCCTTCTGGTGTGTAATACATCTGTGATGTGAGTGTGTGGAGCTGTTCTCGTCGGACCAGTAACACATGAAATTACAGGTCAAAACAACTACAATAAAACATTTCTACAAATCATATGAAATAAAACTAAATTGTCCTTTTAATAAATAATTCAAGATGACTGAAGTCGATTCTAGATTTTAGATTCTTTAGATGAATCTGAATGTCCAAAAGCTATTTCCAAAAAGAAAAAAGCTGCTCTCTTCTCCCAGGTAGTGAGTCATTGCCGTCTTCTCTTCATGAAAGATGAATGGCTCCATCGTGACGTCGTACATACTTTCTCGCCCTTTCTAGATTTGCAGATGAAGGAGGCCTTTCTTCCTAACAGCAGCTAGCATGCACGCACACACACTTATACGAACATACTCACACACACATAGAACCACACACACATATGCACACACATGTACACACACACAATCACACACACACACACACACGTACATACATATGCACAGAGCCAGGTTAATAAACATCCTCCAAAATTCCTAATCCTGTTATCATGCAGTAAAAATAAATATTGTAACGTGTATCAAACTCTCAATCAATAAAATTAACATATTCTCAACGCACACACGCCCACACACACACCAGGATTGACGCTTACAGACGCCGCTGTCGTTCCCTTTTGAATCGTGTCCTTGGAGGATCCTGACTCAGAGCTCAAATCCAGCCAAAAAGCTGCCAGCCCATTTCTCACACGGACACCCATGTTCCGCCTGCTCAAAGTCATGTTCTTGACCACAGAAGCCATCTTGAACTCATCCTGCTCGTCATCTGTTCATACCCAGCGCCCCCAAACCAAAGCTGGTCAAAAAACAAAAAGACTCACCCAACTTTCTCTTGCCTCCATCCAGCACTTGGATTCTCTCCAGCTCAGCCAGACATGGAGGTTCTGCAAACAGGATAAAAATGTCAAAGCAGTGTTGGCCATTTTTTAATTGTTTTTTAGTTTCAGTCGAGATTTTTATTTGACTTATTCATATATATTCTAGCATATATTTAAATCTAAGATGTTGATCCTAGATCTAATTTGAGGATGTTTTTTTACAGGCTGGACATAGATATTACTGATTTAAGATGACTTAGTTAACAGGCGCTAAATAAATCCTGGCTGGCATCTGCTGCTTTGTGTTTGTTTCATACTCTCATTTTTTGTGAGCGGCCTTCAATTAAATCTTTTTGCATTTATTTTTGTATTGCCCTAAGTCACAAAAGTAGTTTTTTCGGAGGACTTTACAAAGTTGCCTTATGAGCAAAATTGTGAGTGCTTTAGGATAAACTATTCACACCCCATGTCGCTGCAACAAACTCCTACTTCTGACTGAATATCTTCCATGGTCACTATCCCATTGGCAAACTTCAAGCCTCCCTCGACTGTACACCTGCACCTGTGCTCATCAGCATCACCGTCATGGCTGCATTTAAACAGTGCTGTTTGTGATTCCTTCTCAGTGGAGGAACAATTTGTCACCAGGGCTAGACACGGAAAATCGCACTCTCATCTCTATTCAGTTCCCTCCTGCAGACGCTGATGTCCACCCACCAAAACCATTTCCAACATTTCCTGTTTCAAATGCAATAATTGTTTGGTACACATCTGCCATGTCTCATTTCCTAATCATCAAAATTGCTTGACATAAGAATGCTTTTTTGATGTTACTATGTTGTATCTTATCAACAACAGGGCTGTCTTTTCGCTTTCATAGATAGCTTTACTCTCTTTTCATTTCCCCAGTATTTTTTTTTTCTTCTGGTTCGGAGGGCCGCGGGAGCAACAGGCTGTCAACAAGAGCAGTGTGTATGTTTTATGCCTTCTGGTTAGGCTGCTCCCCTGCAGGACTCAGGCAGTGTGGGCAGACTGATGGAACCACAGCGGGATAGCAACGGAGCACTACTGTATGAATCTGCTGCAACAAAGACATCTCCAAGTTTGAGCGTTCCAGTTGGGGAGTCCACCTCAGCTAGGAGTTTTGCTGTAGGTTTAAAGAGGACCCATATTTGTTACAGAATTCTGTTTTGTTCCAGAAGTTCCTGATATTAGCGCTAATGGATCTAGAAACAACAGCAGGTGATGGGGAAACAGTTGTAGTAATAACTAACTACTCACTCTCCCTCCAGAAACACAGGCACCACTCGGCTGTGGACACTTTTCCGTCCTTGTAGGAGTCGCAGGAGTTGAAGAAGGGCCGGATGCAGATCTCATACTTGTCCAGGTTAATGGCTGCCAGCTCGGCCTGGTCCAAGTACAAGTCCCCGTTAGTGTCCAGGCGAGAGAACATCCAGCCTATGGAGTCCTTACAGCTGGCCCCCAGGCTCCGATCCAGCACTGCAGACAGACACACACACACACACACACACACAAACACACACACACACACACACACACACACACACACACACTATATGAGATACAGGAATGCTAATCCATGCATTAAGTTTTAAGAATGTGTAATACATTGGGGGTTCCCATTATTGAGGGTATCTATAAAAAAAAGCTGTGATAACCATTTTGTTTCCTTTATTAAATGGTTAATGTATAAAACCTCTTGAAGTTTTGAGAGGTTTAAAACCTCTTAAAACTTAAGAGGTTTTAAGAGGTAACTCTCTTCAGAGGTAAAGAGGTAATCTCTTCATATTCTTAAAACATGAAGAGATTAAAGTCTAGCAAAATTAATCTCTTCATCTTTCACACTGAAATGTTTTTGCATTGTGCAAACACATATCTGAAGAAGGTTTTTAATATGCATAATCTTTTTCTAAACTGCAAATCTAAAACAGGTATATCATACATTCTTAAGTATAAATTATATGGATAAACATGTATAGGGCAATGTCTCGTGGAATAAGTGGGAAAATACATCTACAATGACACAGTGTATATACAGTTTGCAAATTTTCGAAAAATGTCATTAGTCTATGAATTTGTCATAGAGAAATGAGTAAGGGATGGGGGGGGGGGGGGGGGGGGGGGCATGTCCTTCTTGATAATAGCGTGAATGAGATATTTAGTAAGTAAGTAATCTTTATTTATATACCGCCTTTCACAGACCAGAGTCACAAAGTGGTTTACAATTGTTATTTTTGGGCACTTGTCCTCTCACTCCACACAGAGATGGGAGCGGGGTCGCCGAACAGGAGGCGCATGCCAGACCTATTGTACATATTTTTAGTGGTAGGGGAAACCGGAGTACCCGGAGGAAACCTACGCAGACACGGGGAGAACATGCAAACTCCACTCAGAAAGGCCCTGGTCCGACCGGGATTCGAACCCAGGACCTTCTTGGCTGAGTGCTATCCACTCAGCCACCGTGCCGCCCAAAAATTTACTTAGAAAAATTTAGGAATATGATTTAAAACTCAATACATATTGAAATAAATTACTTAATGACACCCAGAGAAATGTTCTTTCTTTCTTATACAATACTGCTCTTATACAGTTGAATCAAATTGTCAATTTGGATTCCGTTGGTAAAGATAAAAAAAGACATATTATGTTTTGCTAAACTCATAATCTATAATAATATTTTTTTTTATATATTTTGAACTTGTCCTCCTCCCCAGCTATGTCAAAATGCCTGTGTGACTAATAGGGGGCATGCTACATTAAAAGCCTTTGAACACAATGTTTCCCCGAACATAATATAAAAATATAACAATTAGTAATGGCGTGTGTGAAGCATATAGAAATACAAATTAGCAGCCCGATGGTTGTGGGTGGGATATGAAGACAAATGCACAAAGCAAAGGGCATTTAAATTTGTGCTCTTCTGTTCCGAGCGCAGCCTCCTGTCTGCTCTGAGAATCAATCGAACACATGGGCTAATGTGAGGGAGGCGGTATGGCTTCAACTCAATCACCACCATTTCTTGCAGTAATTACTATATAACTTCTACATTTTTGTGAAATGTTTTATTAGTGGCATCAAGTAGGATTTACCTCTTTTCCAAACCCATGCTTGCGGCAGCCAAAACACACAGCCTAGACTGGAATTGTTGGAGTTGTACACAGTTACCATAAAAGTGTTGTTGTTTGAAATCTGAAATATTTTAAAATCCTACATAATGTCCCTTTTAATGAAGACATATGCATTATATTTGGCAACCAAAAATGACGAGGGGATATTTACTGTCATTTAGAATGTGAAATCCTATCTTCAGCAGAACATATTTGATGAAACATGGAAGGAGTACTTACTTTACATATTGTATCGAGGTCTGGGGAAACGCATGCAAAAGTGTAATAGATCGAATGTTTTTGCTACAAAAAAAGGCTGTGAGAATTATAAGTCATAAAGGCTCTAGAGAACATACTAACGACCTTTTTGTGAAGCTGAAACTATTAAAATTTAAAGATCTTGCTAATTTAAACATTTTACAGACCATGTGGAAAATTAAGCACAAGTTGGTACCAGAACATATTTACAAGAAATTGACCTTGATCACAGACGACACAAGGCGAAGGGGAAACTTTTGTGTACCGTTCTCCCAAATCTCACTAAGACAGAGGGGTTTCTTGGTTGCTGGGGTAAGATTATGGAATGCATTAAAGGACACATTAAAATGTTCTCAAACAATAGATACCTTTAAAAATATGTTTAAGGAGATGCAGATGGAGAAATATAAAAAAACATAACTTGTATGTTGAAAATTGCTACAATGATTGATTTTTGTAATACATGAGTGTCACAAATTTGTTGAACGGATCACCCGCCGATTTGGTCATCGTTTTTTTTGTTATTGTTGTAACTATTACAAAGGGGCATGGACAATAAGACAATGTCTTCATCATGCTCCTTTTCACCATGTACTGTTTATATTAATGTATGATCTTGTAAAGAAAAAACATGAACATGGATGAATAAATAAATAAATGAAATGAAATGAAATGAAGGAGTATTTCATTTGTTTTTTGCAAAAACATCCATGCGTTTGTAAATAACATAATTTCATGAGGTATTACCAAAACTAATTAATCGACAATACACAACTGCTGAGTGTGATGTCATAGTTGATGTCATTCTACAACCGCTGTGTGGCCTTGGTCCTCAATGTCCTTGGATCCCTCTCTCAATGTGGATTTCCCCAAGGTTTCTCACTTTTCTCCCACTGGGTTATAGAGTTTTTCCGTGCCGATGCAGCAAAAACTAGTTAGTGCTTAACAAGAAGGACTGTGGTGATGATCCAGGACACTCTAGCATTCTAAAACATTTACAGTATCAACATTTATCAACATTCATGGACATCTCTCCCTATGGACCAATACATACTGTATGTGTTATATATTTTTGTGTGTCTTAAATGCTGATTTTCCGATCTGTGTTGACGATTTCAATGGTTTTGTTAAGTCCTCTGAGATGACTACTGTTTTAATTTAGGGCTATACAAGAATACATTGAATTTAATTGAATTGAATAGTGGTCCAATGACATCATACAATTACAGAACTGCAACAGGAGCTTTTAGACAGAAGGGGCCCCCGCCCCTGGAGAGGTTTTTAGAACAATCCATGTTAATGTAACATTAACATGGATTGTTCTAAAAACCTCTCCAGGTTTTGCATATGATGTCTCCTTTAAAGTTTAGATCAGGGCCAAAAGGTGAAAAATGCTTTCCAATTCATGAGTTTATGAGGTGAAATGTATTTTCACTTTCCAACGGTTATGAAAATCCTCCTCAATAATGCGCCGCATTATATGCTTTTCTCGATAGAAGAATAGCATATAATGCAGCGCATAACGTATGTGTCACTGATACAATATACAAAGACGACTTGTACAAGTGGCCTATAGTCTGGAAAAAGGACTAATCCACACTCGTTGCTTCTCTATGTTGTAATTTGCATAAAGTAAATGACCTAAAGGCACTGAATAGTGATATAATGTGCTTCAAAATGTACACACACATTTTAAAATGTTCAAACATATGGGCTGTATGTAAGAGATGATGAATTATAAAACAAAAACAAGGTGGTGGTGTGAAGCCAATTATGGTTGAATATTTGTTTTCTTTTTTCAAACGATAATAACAACAGAAACTCTCTATCCCATCTGTGACAGCTTGTCTTTTGTGGTAGTTGTGGATGTGGGGGTGGGTCCCGGCTCAAAAGTGGCCAAAATGACGTGCGCTGACATGCTTGCAATACCACCCCGGGCCGATGTGTGTGGACCTGGAATAAGAATTAGCCAATGCTAACGTATAGCATCTTCTTACCTTTCGAAAACGTTTTTACAGGATGGTCCAAAAGTTGGCTCTTGGCCCAAAGCTCTGTTCCAAATGTGTGTCAATGCTGAGGGGAGTGAATTTTTTTGGACCACTCTCGTTTAGTCGCTGTGAATTTTTGAAGTCACTCGTTTAAATGAATGGAGCTGTCGTCGGCTGATACATGCGCAGATGCGTTTTTTCACAATTTTCTTGTGGGAGGGACCACTCGCTGCAATTTTGGATAGCTCCAGTAGAGCACAATTTTTGGCCCATTAGTTTGAACGGCGGAGATAGGCGTGACTATGTCCGTTAATATATACAGTCTATGTGGTAAAGCTGCACATTTGCCTTGTTTGTTTTGGTCTTTTTATTAAAGTGATAGTCTGGGACTCCAAATTAATTACACATTTTAAGAATGTTATTAAATCAACCTCCTGGGCTTTAATGTTCATATGAAATAAGTAATTTTATGATTATAATATTACCGGTAAGTCCCGCCTTCCCTTCTCTTAGCTATAGTTCAAAATCCATGATTGCGTCCACTTTAACCAATCAAGCTGTGCACTCGTGATGATGGTTGTCTGTTTTCACGGAGCCTCCGAATCAAGCCTCCACCAAGCTCTGGAACTACATGAAAACTGAACAAAGACAAACTCAACCTAAATCCATAATCAGATCCTCTGCAAATGTGTCCTAAAATGTTCAATTAATGTTAATAGTTACTTCCGGGTTTACCACGATCACGTTTTGTCTCATTAAAACAGTATTTTTGTCATGAAAACTTCAACAGATAATTCTGAAAACCTCCATGCATGTGTGTTAAGAATGTATATGTATAATTTATTCTCTGATTAACATTTAAATGTATTGATTGATAGTTATTTGTGTTATTGAGCGTGGCTAGCTCCGATAACTTCTCTCTCAGTAGTTGTTTGTGACGGGCGCCAAAAGCCCATTGTGATGAAGTGGGCGAACAACTGAAGTTTGTACACGGAGTAATCTTAGTGTTTTACACACCTGAAGTACAGGCACAGATTGCGTTGCCATGGGCAGCGCTCATTATTGATTTGAGAGGTCCATTATCAAGGAATCGGTAGAACGGTAATCGGTAGAATTACATTCAAAT